AGTTCCGAATACTCGACAAGCTAAAGTGACTTTACAAAATGTGTTTCTGGGCTAGAATAATTGACCTAGCTAAAGTCTAGACCGAAATTGTGGTCTTTCTAATTTCCATTTGGGTGTGTCCTTACATTATATCGTTAACATAGTTTGTCCATTTAATTTAACAATGGCTTCCCTGTGTCTTGGGAATGTAAACCGTCTCCAACGTTAGCGCATTTAGATTCGGAAGCGGTCGAAGGGAAGTAAGTAAAGAAGTGATTAAAAGTACAGCCCCAAAGTCTTGCTTTCTGCTTCCTTTACTTTTTATTTTCGGTTTAATTAAGATCAAGCGTTGGGGTTATTAGAGGACAGACTTGCCAAGCGGGTATGAATGCCAGACTCTTAGGATTGACGCTAAGGTTTGAATCCTTGTTAAATTGAATGATTTTACTACCTGTCAGGGGGGGGGGGGGAATCATAATCTGCTCAGACTAAGGCGTCTGCACTAATCATGCGAAAAAGGCCCTTGTGGGGGCCCCCCACCCCCCCCCCACCCCCACTTTCCTGCTCACTCCTGTCGACAATGTAAAAGAGGTAAATACGACAGTAACTGTCAGTTTGGCTGTTAATTTGGCGATGGTAAGGAATATCTATCATTTAGTTGACATGGTAATCGTCTTCTGATAGTCCATACCTGGTGGCATTCTTTGTCGTATTATCCACAACCTTCAGTCTCCTGTCTTCTGCTTCGCTTGCTTTATCCCATGTCGTGGTAGTGATGATTGCCATGTCTATCCAAAACAATCTCATGTCTTCTTCTGATGTCCCATGTCGTGGTAGTGATGATTGCCATGTTTATCCAAAACAATCTCATGTCTTCTTCTGATGTCCCATGTCGTGGTAGTGATGATTGCCAGTCTATCCAAAACAATCTCATGTCTTCTTCTGATGTCCCATGTCGTGTAGTGATATTTGTCATGTCTATCCAAAAACAATCTCATGTCTTCTTCTGATGTCCCATGTCGTGGTAGTGATGATTGCCATGTTTATCCAAAACAATCTCATGTCTTCTTCTGATGTCCCATGTCGTGGTAGTGATGATTGCCATGTCTATCCAAAACAATCTCATGTCTTCTTCTGATGTCCCATGTCGTGGTAGTGATGATTGTCATGTCTATCCAAAACAATCTCATGTCTTCTTCTGATGTCCCATGTCGTGGTAGTGATGATTGCCATGTCTATCCAAAACAATCTCATGTCTTCTTCTGATGTCCCATGTCGTGGTAGTGATGATTGTCATGTCTATCCAAAACAATCTCTTGTCTTTTTCTGATATCCCATGTCGTGTGGTAGTGATGATTGCCATGTCTAACTAGGACAATCTCCTGTCTTCTTCTGATATCCCATGTCGTGTGGTGTTGGTTGTCATGTCTATCCAAAACAATTTCCTGTCTTCTTCTGATATCCCATGTCGTGTGGTAGTGGTGGTTGTCATGACTATCCAAAACAATCTTCTGTCTTCTTCTGATATCCCATGTCGTGTGGTGGTGGTGGTTGTCATGTCTATCCATAACAATATCCTGTCTTCTTCTGATATCCCATGTCGTGTGGTAGTGGTGGTTGTCATGTCTATCCATAACAATTTCCTGTCTTCTTCTGATATCCCATGTCGTGTGGTGGTAGTGATTGTCATGTCTATCCAAAACAATTTCCTGTCTTCTTCTGATATCCCATGTCGTGTGGTAGTGGTGGTTGTCATGTCTATCCATAACAATTTCCTGTCTTCTTCTGATATCCCTTGTTGTGTTGGTGGTTGTCATATCTACATACAACATTTTATCTCCTCTTTTTTCCTTATATTCCAAACCGTGCAGTGGGGCTGTCAGGTCTCTCCAGAATCTTCTCTCTGCTGTCTTTTTCTGGTAGTCAGTGCCGTGTAGCGCTGTTTGTCGTGAATATTACCAACCTTGTGTCTCGAGTCTTCTACTTATTTTCCATGGTGTCAATGGTCATATCTACAATCTTCTCTCACCTGTTTTTGTTTTCTCACTTCTCCATGCCGTGAGGCGGTGGTTGTCATGCCTGGCCACAACATTGTAACTTCTCACTTCTCCATGCCGTGAGGCGGTGGTTGTCATGCCTGGCCACAATATTGTAACTTCTCACTTCTCCATGCCGTGAGGCGGTGGTTGTCATGCCTGGCCACAACATTGTATATGCTCTCTTCTTCTGATGGGCCATGCCGTGTGGCAGTGGTTGTTATGCGTGGCCACAAACTTTAATCTCCTTTACTTCACAGTTAATTCTGACACGGATGACCTCCATGCCATGATGCCTGTCTGCCCCAGCATATCGTCTCTCTCTCTCTCTTGATCTCCCTCTGCCTCCTTTCGCCTCCAACTTTCCCACCGCCACAATGTACTCCATCTTTATTTTCTCGTAACATGAGCAAAGAATGTAGATTGGCTATGTCTTAGGCAGGATATAGTCTTCTTCATGAGTATTGCTTTTCAAAGCACCTTCATTTCTCCTTTTAATCTATCCAGGCTGTTCTTTTAATTTGTCTATAAAATGTCATCTCTGCCGCTCCCACATAATTTAATGGTAAACTAAGGTTAGTTGCGGATCCTTTACAGGACTTTGCAGAACCAACCCCAGCAGCCCCTGGCTGTTGTGTGGTTTCTTTGGAGAAAGTTTACTTCTAGTAGTTTGCCATTGGTGACTAGACGGTCGACTCCCTGATACCACTGTCGAAACCAACGCAAGCTGGGATCGAACCCGGCACCCCGGCATTACGAAGCGTTCGCATCGACTTAATGGTAAACTACTGAGCATAATATTATATAGTAACACCAGAAACACTCAGGGCGAACGCTAGATACCCCGTTCAATCTCCAGAAAAGTTATAATGGGACATCAGTAACGGCTAAATTTAGTACTCCCTAGTGTACAATGTAAGTATTAAGGAAGCCATTGAAACAAATATACCCTCTCTATTCGCGCTACCGAATATTAAGAAATAAATAGAAGAGAAATGCTGGAGAATGCTAATCCAGTCAGAAAAGTTGTCCTGTTGGCCACCAAAAACGAGTTATACTCTCTGAGGGCTGTAGCGCGAATAGAGAGGGTAGGGAGTACTAAATTTAGCCGTTACTGATGTCCCATAACTGTTTTCAGTAATTTTAGCAAAATAAAATACTCAAAATTGTAACTGTAAATGGTGGTCTAAAAAACGTTGTGTAGAAAAGCGCACTCCCCTACAAAATACGCCTGGCCAAATCAAAGGGAAACAACACAAACTGGAAACACTAAGTAAGACGAGGGAAGACATGCACAAGTAACCACAGGGTGGAGGACGAGCGGTCTGATTCGGATGGAAGCATCAAGCCCAGAAATGGCGCAAACACTAAAAGTCAGTCACGACAGTGACACAAATAACACAGACCACAAATATAGGCGGAGACTACTTGGACTTTATATATTCGTGGTTGTAGTGTAAGATTCCAGTGTTGTTGTATTTGTTAATAGGGACTGGGCGCTGCAATTATTATTTGTTTCCTGTCCCCACACTGAACTTCAAACTTACGATTTGTTTAATTTAATGTATTGTGCTTTATGCTCATAATTATTATGTCTTTTCCTGCACTTTTTTAGACAAATCAATGACAATTGAATGAATGAACCAATCAGGCAATCAGTAATTGCCATCAATGCACTTCAGACATTTCCATACGTGCTCCGTCTCCTTCCTAGTTTGCCAACCAAGAGTTGGTATGCTTATAGAGCCAATTGCAACCTGATTAACTGTCCGCCTATATTTTCTCATCAGTTTTGAATATCTGGTGCACTGTCCACTTGACCGCAGCGAGCCTTACTATGTTCGCTTTATAGTAAAGTCGCTCGCCGCCCAGACTTTGAATCGCCTACATAAATGAGGACAAATCAATGTGTTCATCTGTCCCAGTTTCCTTGAGATTCGAGTCGTCTACAGTTAGACGGGTTTCTGTTAGGTACAAATGATTACATTGGTCACTTCACTGGCTTCCATTCCAAACTTACTTTGTTCATTACAAGAAGACAGCAATTCGGTACTTGTCCTAATATCTTTAGTAAGCTATTTAGTACAGGCCTTCTCGAAACCAAAAATGTTCAGGGATGTCTTGGGTTTTCGTGATGGGCGAAATAAGTACATATAGTTTGATTAGTTTTGACAATATCAGGGACATGATGACGATTTGGGAAACATTATTATTGCATTTGTTGGGATTTTTGTTGTTGTTGTTTGTTGTTGTTGTTGTTGTTCTTCTTCTTCTTCTTCTTCTTCTTTCTTCTTCTTCTTCTTCTTCTTCTTCTTCACATTCTTCTTCTTCCTCTTCTTCTTCTTCTTCGTCTTTTACTACTACTACTACTGCTACTACTGCTACTACTACTACTACTACTGCTGCTGCTGCTGCTACTACTACTACTACTACTACTACTACTACTACTACTACTACTACTACTACTACTGCTGCTGCTGCTGCTTCTTCTGTTGCTGATGCAGCAATAGAAGATAGATCCTTCAGCAATTGAGGCATATTTCTTTGTAGCTTTCATAGTGATTGACTTGACTGATTACAATTTGACAGCTATAGTTAGTTACCCTTGACCATTCTTAAGAAAACCCTTTCATGTCGCTTCCCCTGCAATCCTACCATATCATGAACAGAATTAAGTCGGGACCTTTCGCCTTTCTCAACAACCTTCCTTTAAATGATATTGTTTTGAGGTGGTCCACTGGTTATATGTCCCGAAGGTGTTATAAAGGTTTTTTTTTTTTTTTTTAGGTAATAAACCTCGATAATTTAGGACCGTTATTCGGAGGATAGTCAATTCATTTGTGTAATTTTTTTTTTAGTTTTTCAGCCGAATGCCTAAAAAGAGTACTACAGTTATATTTTGTTTCAATAATCTAATGGCATCTTGACGTCGGCTCTCTTTGTGTATTTTGTTTTAAAATGTGTTTTTAATTTGTTTGTTTGAAGGGATAACTGGTAACGTGAGTATCGATGCCAATGGAGACCGAAATGCTGATTACTCGCTGCTGGACCTCAATCCCAAAACTGGCAGATTTGAGGTGAGCTCTAACATTTTCAAAGATATTAGTAATTTTAGAGTTCTTTAAAGTCGCCGTCGTCTTCTCCTTGGCTTTCTCCTGTTCTCTATCAAAATGTTGGGGGATCTTCTGCGTTCACTTTCTTTCTCTCTCTCTCTCTCTCTCTCTCTCTCTCTCTCTCTCTCTCTCTGTTTCTCTCTCTCTCTCTCTCTGTTTCTCTCTCTCTGTCTCTCTCTCTCTCTCTCTCTCTCTCTGTTTCTCTCTCTCTCTCTCTGTTTCTCTCTCTTTCTCTCTCTCTCTCTCTCTTCACTCACTGTGTTTCTGTGTGTGCTTGTATGTGTGTGTTATGCTTGAGTTAAATTCGTTTGAGACTTTTTTGATTCTGTCGTTTTTTTTTCCGTGGTGTTCCCCATGTTCTGTGTTCACAATATTGACACAGTTGATATTTCTTTAAAGCGGCTCTCTTTGGCATTTGGAAAATAAAGGAGCCTCTTCCCGGCTCTCGGCACTTGAGGCATAGTCTGCAAACCTTTATTTGTGTAGACCGATCGGCAGTCAATGAATTATGCGGTCGACATCCCGCTTGCCGCCTGTACTTCATAGAATATTACCTGACCCATTAAAGATTGCTCGATCTGAAAGCGCCTAACGGAACATAGTCCTTGCTACCATATGCTTTTAATGCGAGTGTATGCTAGATTTGCTGAGACAGCAGTTTGTCAGTCTTTCCACAAGGGACTGGGATAAACATTCTGTGTGATTTTCGTTGGCACAGGAGCGGAGCAAAGATAGGGTGACCCGTTTGCTATGAAGCAGAAATTAAAATTACCAGATTACCAGATTACCAGTCCTTCAACCAAATCAATGCCCGTTCGTTCTGTAATTCGCTATCACATGCAGCCCTCCCCCATATCCCCCTACCCCCACCCCCCTTTCATCTTTTTAACGTCACTATCTAGCTACCTTCTCCAAGAGTTTTTGTTTTTCTTTTATTTCTGTATCCCTGTGGGTTCCAGTGCAAGGAAATCATAGTTATATTGTTCTCATGTTTGTTTTTTTAACGAGCGTCCTGTCAAACGCTAGAGTCTGTTCTTCAAATTGTTTGACTGTTACTATTCTTGTTCTCACCCAAAGCTAGAAATGCTATCACATCAATTAATTCCCTCTATTGTGCGCAGGAACCAGTTAATGAATGTTTGTAGTTTATTAGCTGTTCTCCGTGATCCTGTTCCACACAACAGTCTGATTAGGCATTAGAATTAATACAGTTTGATTAAGCATGATTTTTTTTTTCTCTAAACTTCATAGATTCCCTAGTTCAATGATAGCTCTTCTTGCTTTTTGCATTCCTATTATACTATCTCTGTCAGTTCCCTTATCTTTATCTAAATAACTGCCCAAATAGGTGTACGACTCCATGTCTTAGTGTGGGATACCATTAAGAGAAACCGCATTACTAATTGTCTTATTTATTCTCATTATCTTCGTCTTTCCCTTATGACTTTTTAGACCAAGCTGTTGTGATTTCGCATCCAGTATATTTAGTGTAGCTTGCATCTGATTCCGTATGTTGGACAAAAGAGAAATATCATCAGCGAAGTCCAGATCATCAAGCTGTTTTGTCGGGCGGGGTCTACTGAGTTCCATTCGTGATGTTTGCAGTTACTACCTTTGTAATCCAGTCTATTGCCAGTAAAAATTGGAGAGACGACGAAAGATATTCCTGTCGCACACCTGGGTTTTTTTTTCAAATGTATATATTAGACAGACAGACAGGCAGGCAGGCAGGCAGGCAGGCAGGCAGGCAGGCAGGCAGGCAGGCAGGCAGGCAGGCAGGCAGACAGACAGACAGACAGACAGACAGACAGACAGACAGACAGACAGACAGACAGACAGACAGACAGACAGACAGACAGACAGACAGACAGACAGACAGACAGACAGACAGACAGACAGACAGACAGACAGACAGACAGACAGACAGACAGACAGACAGACAGACAGACAGACAGACAGACAGACAGACAGACAGACAGACAGACAGACAGACAGACAGACAGACAGACAGACAGACAGACAGACAGACAGACAGACACGCACAATAATGCGGACTAGTCTCTGGATTTAGGAGTTAAGTATGTGTGAACATGTCTTGTAGGTTCAGTACAATCATGTGCACTGTCTCAATTCTGTTCTCTTAATACTCTCAAAGGTGGTCGCGAACTACTTTGGCAACGAGAGGTACTACCGCCGTGTGGAAGGAAAAGAAATCCACTGGGCCGGTGGGAGGCAGGGTCCACCCCCCGACACTCCCAAGTGTGGATTTGATGGATCCAAATGTCCTCCAGATGGTAAGTACAGAAAGGGATCTTTCCTGGCCATAGTAGTGTATCGAGCACATGAGGCTACAATGCGTTGCATAACTCATGCCGTCACACTTTAAAAAAATATATATCTCAGAAACTCCCTCACGGATCGACACGGGTTTTTTGCATGCTGCTCCCATATCCTTATGATTCTATAGTCTACAATTACGCAGATGCTGCTGTTTTCCTAGAGCGGGGAATGTTTTTTTTATCTTTGACTAATATTTATGTCCGACTCGTAAGCCAGCATACTGCGATCGAAACCCACTGCAGGCTGCGTGGATTTTTGTCGTGGTATGGGACGTTGCAGGTCGACCCAGCCTAAAATGGGTACCACGATGGGCTGTCCTGGGAAAGTAAAGACAGCCGGCGTAATGCTGACTACATTACCCACAGAGTGCTGATGGTCTGTAAAAATATGGGACGCTCTGCCCATATGCCCGATGCGCCGAAAGGCGTGAAAAGGGAACTTTACTTTACTTTACTTACCTCTGAAAAAAAGAATATACAGTAATTGACTCACATGTGGAGATTGTGTGGAAATCTGTTTACGTTCGCAGCAATGCGTAATGATTTTGTTGATAGCCTATTCCCCACTCAATGAAAAATCGCAACTCCCAGGAGACTTATGCTAGAGGTGACCAACAGAGAGTAAAACGCACACGACATGCGTGTAGTCTGATGTCTACTTAAATTACTATAATTAAATTACTATAGTTTGTTTTAAAGTGTCTTTTTTGTTTGTTCGTTTATTTTCTCAATATGCAGCAAATAAGGCAAAATAAACATTACATGTCTATGTACTGGTTCCATCAGAAGTGAGACTCTACGCTTGTTGCTGAAGATGGGGACGGGGCGCTTATGTAAGTGTCCCGGGTGCTATGATGTCAATTCTTAATTCAACATTTCACATCTAAGACCTTGGATATATAAAGGAATGACAAAAGACAACTCCCTGGAGCATTATTTCAGGTAGTTCTCACTGTCGTTTTCGCAATATGCAGAAGGTACATGTTACGAAAGTGGTGATGATAACGAGCTTTATGATGATTCTTACAATTAACATGGACTTGAGGATGTGGAAAATACCAATACTGAACGAACGAACGAACTTTATTATCAGAGGGTCACAAACTGGGCACGCAGACCCGTCCTAGATTCGGCCCTTCCAAACACCCATTTTTCAGGCAGCAATTGTATGTTATCAGTGAAGCATGTTCATATGCCTATTATGAATATCATGGAAGGGGGAGGGGAGGGGGGTGGAAAGGGGGGGGGTGGAGGGGAGGGGGGTGGAGGGGAGGGGGGTGGAGGGGAGGGGGTGGAGGGGGGTGGAAAGGGGGGGGGACTGATTTTGCTTGTAGCGGTAGTGGTGATAAAAATAAAATAAAAAGTAAAGTAAAGATCCCTTTTCACGCCTTTTGGCGCATCGGGCATAAGGGCAGAGCGTCCCATATTTTTACAGACCATCAGCACTCGATGGGTAATGTGGTCAGCATTACGCAGGCTGTCTTTACTTTCCCAGGACAACCCATCCTGGTACCCATTTTAGGCTGGGTCGACCTGCGACGTCCCATACCACGACGAAAATCCACGCAGCCTGCAGTGGGTTTCGATCGCGGTATGCTGGCTCACGAGTCGGACTCGCAACGCCTTAGCCACGGAATATAAAAGTTCATGAAAATATTGAAGTTAATGAGAAGGTTAATTATGTTGATAATGATAACGATAATCATGATTTATGTTATGCCTATGCTGAATTGGGTGATCATGAAGTTACAGTTATTGATAATTAGGAAACTGATTTTAAAATAATCCATGCATATCGATTTTTGTGTACTTATTTTTTTTTCTCTTTAGAACCTTTCCCGGAGTACGGCATTGTCATCATTGTTCTTGGAACATTGCTTTTGCTAGTTCTTATTGTAGTCTTCTCTATATACAGGTAAATGTCGTTATCTAATTGTCCTTATCGTAATCGGCGCTAGTGCACGTTTTAGGTTTTAGATTTTAGAAGACGAATCAACATCATGGCACAAGAGTAGTGACCCATAAGCGCTCCGTTATACTTCTGACTCAAGCCCGAAGAATTTCAGCGCAGTGCACGAGCTCCGTAGCACCAGCGAGGATCCTGAAATACTCTGCCTAGATTTTTAACTCAAAATTCCGGGCAGCCCTGTTAGGATACACATTTTCGATTTCTAATTGCCAATGGATTTTCTATGTGCGCAACAATACACACGGGCGTTCGATCTTACTACTAACGGACCATAAGAAATTACAAGAAGTCCGAGTTACAAAAAATCCGAGCCTTTACCGGGGCAGGAACCGAGACCTCCAGCACAAGAATCGGACGCCATGCCTCGAGACCACGCAACCCATGGGCATTCCAATGTCTGCCGATGATGCAGCCAATCCACAGTGTCTCTGTTTAATGTTTCCATGAAAATGCAGTTATAGTGTCATCTACAAATGTTTCTTATCTTGACCTCAAAGACTGCACAGGCGTGCTTTTTTGCAGGTCGTGTAGTCTTGTCTTATCCGACGTGTTATGAGAAGGAATCGACTCGAGAACTTACGGGTGACTGGGTTCGTGGGAAAAGAGCAACGCGAAGGCGAAGTCATGCAGATGGTGGCGAGACAAGAACACTGACCTGATCCTTGATTCTAGCGATTATATGACATGGCAAATATCAGTCTGCGCTTATCGGCACGGAACAGGATGATAATGATGATCATTCTTGCTAGCGTTTTCATAGATTTGCCATTATCCTTCAGTCTAGTCTTTTACAGCACCGAACCCACTGACTATCAGCACTGAACCCACTGACTATCAGCACCGAACCCACTGACTGTATTAACCTTGTCATACGTATTTATCTTCCAGCTTGCTTTTTAGTTCGTTACTAGCCATCTGGTCTGCTCTTTCATTACTCTTTTCTCGTACATACGTAGATGAAGTTAGAAGTTTGAAGAATCTTTTTTCAACTGCCAAGGGATTTTTTAAGTGCGCGACAATGCATACGGGCGTCCGATCTCACTACCCAGAGACCAGGGGGATTTTACTAGAAGTCCAAGTCCACGTAAAAATATTTTGTGTGCGTACTCCGCTGTGTTGTATGTTTGTTTTCATTTGTGTAAGGCTGTTCTGTATGCCGTTGTTCCATAAGCTACTTACTTATAACAGACAATGTATTGATCGTCGCTTAGAGAAAGAAGTAGAGTAGAGTAGGCAACATAAAAATCAAAAGCTGTAGTTACCCTCTCCGGAATCGAACTTTTCACCTACGAATGGCATGGAAACTCGTGTACCATGTCTTGGCAACTTACTGATTGGTAGTGCTCAGTCCTCCGATGTAGTGACGATCGGAAAGTTGGAGAAGAGATCCAAATAGAGACTAAGAGAGAAGATTCTATACCTTTTGACATCATGACTTAAAAGAACATCTGCATCGAAAATCACTGATAGTACACAGATAGATGGCCCTGAACATACACCAAAACCACGATGAGCCATTAACAAATTGGAACTATCATACACTACGCCGGCCACCTTTACTTCTTAGGTCATTACCTAGTACCCATTTAAGGATAATCGATGTGGGAGCCAATGTCAAAATCTGCAACGTCGTCGCTACACAGGCCCATCTCCACAAAGCACTGATTTTAAGGGTGGGGGGTGTTCGGGGGGGGGGGAATGTGGGGGAGGGGGTGGAATACTCTGGGGGGGGGATACTGTGTGGAGTGGGGGTAATGGGGGGGGGGAATACTGTGGGGGGGGGGAATATGGGGGGGGGGGGATACTGTGGGGGATTGCGATACAGATCATCAGTTACTAGAAGCAGATCTGAAATTAAAACTCAAAAAGCTTACCCGAGGACCAAGGCCATTTCGATTTGATCTCACAAAAATACCATATGCATACAACGTAGAAGTGAAGAACAGTTTTGAGGTCTTGATGTCTGTACAAGAGGAAATGACACCTGATGAACTGGCGGTACAAGCTAGGGATATCTTGATAACAGCAGCTAAAGACTTAATACCCACCAGGACTAAGCAACATAAACCATGGATCACACCATACACGTTAGAACTAATAAAACAATGAAGGGAACTGAAAAAGAAAGGAGAAACCAATGACAGTAGGATGAAGTATAAATTTTTAACACGAGAAATAAGAAAGTACACAAGAAAGGATAAAAATCAGTATGTACAAGATTGCTGTATTAAAATAGAGCAGCATCACAAAAATGGAAGAGATTACGAAATGTTCAAGGAAATGAAGTTATTGACAAGAAATTTTCAACCTCAGTTAAATGTTATTTGTGACAGGTTGGGAAATACTTTAACAGAATCTAGACAAATTCTAGGAAGATGGCAGGAATACTGCAGCGGAATGTATGATATGAATGACAGTGAGGATATGAATGATATACATGAACCAGTAACAGTAGAGGCAGAACCTGAACCTTCATTAGATGAAATTTCATGGGCAATAAGGAGCCTGAAAAATGGTAAATCACCTGGATGTGATGGGATACCAGCTGAATTGATTAAAGCGGGAGGAGAAGAAAGCATAAAAATCTATCATGCATTATGTGAAAAGATATGGAAATATGGTATTTGGCCAAAAGACTGAAAGAGAACTATCTTCATTCCAATACCAAAAAAGGGTGACCTGAAATTATGTACAAACTATCGAACTATTGCCCTGATCAGTCATGCAAGTAAAATTCTACTAAAAATTATAATGAGAAGACTGCAAAAGAAAATGGAAGAAGAGATTAATGTAGCTCAGGCTGGATTTAGACAGGGAAGAGGAACAAGAGATCATATATTCAACATGCGTTTTAATAATAGAGAAGTGTAGAGAATTTAATGTAAATCTGTTCTTATGTTTTGTGGATTATTCAAAAGCATTTGACTGTGTACAACATCAGAAGCTTTGGGAAATCATGAGGAATATGGGCTTTCCATCACATATAGTGCAGCTCATTAAAATGATCTATCAAGACCAACAAGCAGCAGTCAGAATAGATGGAGAGACATCAGACTGGTTTGGCATCAAGCAAGGAGTCCGTCAGGGATGTGTGCTGTCACCGTATTTGTTCAACCTGTACGCCGAAAATATAATGAGAAATGTAAGAGATGATATAAACAAGGAACAATATGATGCCCTAAACATCGGTGGTCATGAAATACCAGAAATTCGTTATGCTGATGATACAGTATTACTATCAACATCACAAAATGGTTTAGAAAACTTATTAACCTCACTCCAAAGAAATAGTGAAAATCATAACTTATTTCTTAACACAGCAAAAACAAAGATAATGCATACAAACAAAACTGCCATGGAGAAGGAAATATATGTTAATGAGGAAAGATTGGAAGTGGTGGAAACTTTCGAATATCTTGGGTCACTGGTTACCAACAATGGTGACACAATGAAAGAAATTAAACGGCGACTATCAATTGCTCTTTAAAGACTAAAACAACTGAATAAATTATGGAATTGTACAGATAGAATTACAAAGGTCAGATTTTTAAGAGCATGCATCTTTCCCATTGCAACATACGCCTGTGAGACCTGGACACTTACTAAACAAGCGAAACAGCGCATAAATGCATTTGAATATAAATGTTACAGACAGGTTCTAAGAATATCTTGGGTAAAGAAAAGAACAAATGCATCCATACTTCAAGAGCTGAATATTGAAGAGGGTTGGCTAGTAAAAACAATAAAACAAAGAAAATTGAAATATTTTGGTCACTTGAAACGTCATGGAGGTCTAGAGAGAACAATAATGGAGGGGTATATGCCTGGGAAGAGAGGAAGAGGAAGGCCAAGGAGAAGATGGGTGCAGGATGTGGCAGATGATCTCCAGATGGGTGTATCAGACGCAGGACATCTTGCTCATGATAGGAAGGTTTTCCGGAGGGTTGTTATGGCAGCGAGGTTCCGCGAGGGACATGCTACTGAATGAATGAATGAATGAACTGTGGGGGAGGATACTGGGGGGGGGGGGGGAGTAATGTGGGGGGGGGGTTCTGTGGGGGGGGGGATAATGTGGAGAGGGGGATATTGTGGGTCGGGAATAATGTGGGGAAAATAATATTAGGGGAAATAATTTGGGGAGGGATAATGTGAGGGGGGATTAATGTAACACAATAATCCACACAGCATTGACTATATGAAAGAGGTGGGTAATGTGAGGAGGAAAAAACTGTGGCGGGAATAATGTGGCGTTGGGGCAATGTGGGTGGGGAATAATGTGGTTGAAAATAATGTTAGGGGAATAATGTGGGGGGGGGGGGTAATGTGAGGGGGGAGTAATTTGAGGAAGATAAAAAAAATGCTGGTGGGGTTAATTTGAGGAGAAGACAGTGAGAACCAGTTTTCTACTATAAACGATAGTTAAACTGATTGACTGATTGCTTGTTGGAATGATTGCAGGCACATCAAACTGGAAGCAGAACTGGCAGAAATGAACTGGCGAGTGCGGTGGGATGACATCCTGTTTGGAGTGCTGGAGAAAAACAAAAAGATGGACAGACAAGGAAGCAGACTAAGCCTTGGGGTGAGAATATATTTCTTGAGCTGTTCAGAACCGAATCAATTAACAAATAAACCAGCTAATAAATTTAGCGCACCTAATCAACAGTTACATCTGTATTTAAAAGCCAGATGTAGTGTGTGTGTACATGATAATTCACATATTAACTCCTCCCAAGCCATGACCAATAGTTAGATTTTGAATTGCCATTATAGCTACAATGTTTAATGTTATAGTCATATTGGCGTCCATGTTTATGGGCATTTCTTCTAACTATCGTAACAATCAGTAAAAGTAAGCTTTATTTGCAATTATTTTTTTCTGAATTGTTTTCTCTCACATCTCGCACATTTATTATTTTCTAAACTACATTTCGCTGTTATCCTCTTTGATACTTATACTGTAAGATAGGAGCGTTATAGGTGGTTGCTACTTTAGTGGTCAGACTTTGGGGACTGCCAACATTAGGAATTTTAAACATGAGTAATGCTCTGAGTCATTTCCCCGTCACTCCAAAGAGGCGCTAAGTTGCCGGTAGATTTATAACTATGGACAGAACTGGTCTAGGAGGCTCTACAACTTCAACCCGGGTCGTGACTTAGGAGCCAGCTGCCACACTCTGTAAAATAAATAGTTGCTACAGATAGTTCTCGCCAAAAAAAAATGCACTAAAATAGGACATTGACGGGTTGAGGAAACGAAAACGTCAAAGAAAGGCTTTAAAATGGAAGTCTCATTTTGTGCTCGCTCCTCCGAGGAGATTCTACTACATATATGGCAGCGGTGAAGATGAGGTAAGGTACGGAAGAATAGAAGTTTCTTGCACTGACCCAATAGAAGCCAGGCAATTAAATCTAGTCTCCCATAAAAACAATAGCAAAATTTGAGAAAGATATTTACGTGTTTATTTTCATTTAGACTGAAATGGTTTCTTTACGTTTTTCATTTGTTTTATTAGCTGGCTAAGATGGTAATGGATAAGCTTAACAACTGGATGACCTAGATTGCTTGGGTTTCATTACCACGTTGTTGTTTATTTTTTTACCGTTCTTTTGGCTTTCGGACATCGGCAAAGGAGTCATATCGTCAAATAGACTAGAGCCTCACCACGATATATTCCCCAACACAGAAGTAGAAACACTGTAGCCATCTTTATTGCAAAGACTGCACGTTTGTTTTTTAATATACATAAATAAAGTTTCATCGAAATTTTGCCAGTGAAATAAATCGTAAAATTAATTTATAATATTTTTTCCCGATTCACAACTATTAATCCGCATACGAAGCAGAAGAAAATACAAATAAAGTCAAGATAACACACTGTACATTACAACAATTAAAAACTCTCGTCATCATACATGATTCTAACTGTCGTCACCAAATACGACACTGCCTGACTGACTGTATTGACTAGATAAAAGTCCCTCAAACTATTTACACCAATAAAAGGGAGATTATTTCGAAGCCCACCTAACCGCTAACCGAACACACAAAGAAAAACAAATGTAGATAGCAGTTTATAAGGTTAATCAAAGGTCACAAAATTAAAATTTTTAGCTGATGCTAAATCGTTACATTCGTATCCTTAAAGTCTTAATCCCTCAGACTGATATCCTGGAAAAGACAAACAAACTACCACAACCCGCTACTGTACTTGATAAGGCAGAACAGTTTAACGACCCACCTGGACTTTACGACGGCCTGCCAGCGAGCCGCTGCCAACTGGTTGAAGAACATTATGCTAGATTACTTAGATGCCCGGATGGACCAGATTTGAAAATAAATATAAATTAAATTTGAATTTAAAAATAAAAGCTTTTTTTTTTTTTTATGCGAAGATTTGAAGTAAATTAACAAAACATATATTCACATTTCAAAGATAAAAAAAAAAAAAAGAAAAAAAAAAAAAAAAAAAACAACCAGGCATAGGAAAGTACAGCCATAGTGGTTTCAAAGCCGTGCGTACAATATCGTGATAACAACCCGCATTTTACTATCAGGCATTGAAAGTACAACCATAATGGGTTCAACGCATTCTGATTATCAGTTGCCGTTCTAGCTTCTTTTGCTCCTTTCTTGTGCAAATGAAAACTACTCACAGTACCTATCACTGTTCCTTGGAGGGAGGAAAAAATCAGACAGACAGCAGTCCCGGAAAATTCCATCAGCTCGTACACACATTACATATATAAGACAACCGCCAGATATGCCAGTGTCAGCAATCCAGTCTATCACTAGAATTGCAGGTTAGGTGATGAAAGCAGCAGTCACGACAAACCAGCAAGTGTATACGCTTGGTCGAGCACGGACACATTAAACATGGTTGTAGACCTAACTGTGTACCGTCGTCGGGTCTACTTAATCTATGTCTCAGAAATCAGATTCACACAGGACCTGTCATCAGTATCGGCTGCGAGCATAATTTAAACAACATGCCGACGACACATTGGTAATTGGAAGTGTTCTGGAAAATAAAGGCAGCCGGTGGTGTTTTCACAATATTGCCACAGAGTGTCGATTTATTTCACGAAAGATATCATGCAACAAGAGACGATTGGTCTATCAAATGTAGGTCTATCTCTGTAGCCCAATACGCTTGAAGACTTGGAAAAGGTTCTTTACTTTACTTTAGTTTACCTAACTTCCCTACAGAGAGCTCCTACCAGTGTAAGCATCATATACCCACACACCTTGACCTTACTGTGTTGTTGGTATCATTTGACTTGAAACTTATACTGATGACATGTTTTGTCTGAATCGCTTTTCTCACACACAGATTAAGTAAAAAAGAGAGCATATTTATCTGGTGGCGACTTTTTTTATTATTTAAGTTTGAACAAAGAAAACATGAAAACATTATTTTAAAATTTGTATTAGCGCATTTGTCCAAAAACCATCAATGACCTTGATGCCAAATAACAGTCAATTGATTGGTTAAACCTTATGTTATTTTTGTGTGCAATTTGAACAGTTTGGTGCAATTTGAACAATTTCACTCATTACAGAGATGCTGAATATCGGAGTGTTGACAAAATTATGTTTAGTAGCCATGCTTTCTTTTGTATAAAATTGTCATTTTTTTTTTCTCCAGAGGAGTTCAGTGTCCACGGGCTGTTCAGGGGACACAATCGCCGTACACTTGAATGATGCCCGCAACCGGCAGCTGTTTACCAAGACTGGATACTACAAGGTTGTCTGTCCTTGTAACTTGTTCTTCTTCTTCTTCTTTCGTTCGCCTGAAATAAGTTGTCTATATCAGCAGTTTTGTCTCTTGTATAAATTTCACTGTCGTTGTTAGTTCATTCAGTGGTCCATAGAGTTTACGTTCCACTGTTGTTCTTTCATGCCAAAAGGTTTGCCTTAATGTGTCAAAATCGGCGCAGTCATGGAGTACATGCTCTGCTGTCTGGGGCACATTTCCACAGGTGCACATGGCTGATACACCTATCTTGAATTTTGTGTATATGTGGTAACGTAATCGGTTGTGCCCTGTTCTGCGGCGGAAGATAATGACTTGTTCTGGTCAGCCCATAAAAAAATAGTCGTCTTGTGCTGGAGCTGGTGGTTTCCTGATCGATTTAATGAGTCTTTTCTCTTGTTACTAGTAATAACCTGGTGGTATTTTATTGTCCGTCATACAAATTGATTGAATGGGAAGTTATCCAACTTTTTTCTTCTATACGTTTCTCCATGTTACACACATGCAAGAGCTGCTAACACAAAATCTCTATTACCTAGGGCGCATAGAATGTAGAGATTAACTGTCATTATAAGTTGTCCCCATGTGGGATGCAATTTTACGCCCACCCTGGCTGTTGTTGAATGTTAAATGTTGAATTGAGAATAGACATCATAGCACCCGGGACACTCCATCCAATAAGCGCTCCGTTCCCACCTTCTACAGCAAATGAAGAGTTCTGATTCCAATAGCACCAATAGCTGTCTGATTTTATTTCCGTCTCGCCTTTCCTTGAGTGTTGAGCGTTAGCCAGATTCCCTGTTAACTCTTTGCAGCGTCATTCTCCTCAGACCGTCATGATCTATTTGCGATTCCGCACTGTTCACTCCCAAAGGGCCCTCACAATATCTAGGTTGTCATACATCAGTTCACCACCAAGTGGTGCAGAACCAGCCAGTCTATCTGCCTGCTTATTTCCTAACACACCGGCATAACCAAGAGAGTATATCAAAAGGATGCTAACTACACGGGACCTCTGAAGTGATACTTGCCACTCTTCACGGAGGATACCTCTCTCCACGTTTCTCAGCATGCTCTGTGAGTCACAATCACGGCATGTGTGTACAGCTGATTCTCAAGCCAGCGGAATGCAGCAGTCACTGCCTCTACCTCCATTCTCAAACTAGACGTTTTGATATCATATGTCAGCCTTTACTGCATTAGGCGACGTCCATTCGCTTTTGCTTTGAGCTCCCATGCAATTCGTCTGCCCCTCAACGCAAAGCCATCTGTATAGAAAATTACATCACTTGGGCGGGAATTATTATGAATCATTTGTGGAATTTCTGATTCTTCACAGAAAACCCTGCAAAAGCCTGTTGAAGCTATGGAACCGGTGCTTTGTGCGACGCTTTCAACAGATGCTCAACTCCTCGAGCGAGTGGGATCTAGTAACGTACAATAAAATCCCGGTGCTAAAAACTCTACTGTCTTACACACCGATGAATAATAAATAGTACATTACAATTCACTTCTCTACATCTTGTAATATTCTAATGTAAAAACACCATAAATATGCATATTGTTAATAACTAGGTCGGTAGAATGGTTAAATCAACACCCGCCTTACACAGCTGATTCGTTGCCTGTGTCGAGTTTAGTCATCTTTTGTGTGTAAACTGATATTTTGTTCAGTATCCTGTTTGATTATACGAACATTGTTCTTGATTGTGTTAAGTTACCAACAGACCGCCAGTGCTGATACGCCAGCCGTATCTCAATGACAATGATTGATACCAATTTCAGAATTCATATTTTCTCTTGGGAAATATTATGCGTTAAGTACGTGAAATGTCCATTTTCAGTGAACTGGTTTCTGGATATATTATCATTTATTTAACTATACTTTTTGGAGTTATGATTCACATCATGGAATTCCCAAACCCAAGGGAATTTTAAAATAGTATGCAATAAAGATATTTTGAGTGTCTATAAGCAAAGTAGAATACAGCCTTTGAGAAGGTTGCAAGTGGTGCTAAGTGAAACATGAAGTCAGAGGTATTGGATATTTTTCATGCAGTTGGTGTATCTGTGCCGGACGTGTGTTCTTTGTATGGACACTATGCGTTTGATATGAAACATAATCATGACCAGGTCGCTTTTATTTCCAAAGACATTTTTGTTTCCTCTTCTAGACAGGAGCGACATATCAATTATACCTTTGATCAATTATACACAATTCTGCATAAGACATAATCAACCCCAGGAATGTCGGCCCGGTTGGCAAACGCCTAGCTGCTTGACTGAGGCGGTTCCCCTTTAAAGATGTTCTGAAAGTTTCTTTTCTCCTTCTTCCCTTCTCCTGCTGCTTATTCCGTAAAGCATTGGATAAAGGAGTTATGTGTAGTTACCTCTCTTTTGCTAGTTGCGTTGTTTGTGTTCATGTCATATTGTGTTTCTGGTGTCTATTTTACTCCTTTCGCCCAAATTTTCTTAGTCGGCCTTTTGCCTGTTGTCTGCTATTCTCATGTAGGGCTCTCTAGCTGCTGGCTGATTTTGTTCCCTTCTGATCAGAGACCTAGGGCCCTTTGGGAGCGAGTAAACAGTGCCGGGGCACAGTTAGATCATTACGGTCTGAGGAGAATGACACTGAAAAGAGTTACAAAGGGATCTGGCCGACGCTCAACACTGAGGGAAAAGGCGAGACGGATATACAATCAGACAGTTACTGGTACCATCGGAAGATGGGGACCGAACGCTTATGTGGGCGATCTGAGTACTGTGATGTCGATTCCTAATTTAACATTCAACATTCGCCCATAAACTCTATTTCTAGTCAACTTGGTACGCATTTCTCAATAGCTTGCGAGTTATACTAGACAAAAGACAATTGCCTGTAACTGTCTAGTACTTGCCTGTGCGTGGTGTCGAGCGTCCGACATGAACACACGTATGATACTAAACATATTTTCGTAGACCTATCAGCACTCGGTGGGTGATGAGGTCACCGTCACACCTACCGCCTTTACTTCCCAGTAAATTACTTGGTACCCGTTTTAGGTTGGGCCCGCATGGAAGCCGAGGTCAATTCTGGGGGAAAATACAGATAAGTTTTGATGGGAATTCGAACTCAACACCTTTACGACATGCTTGTACAGGATCTACTCTTGTTCTACTAATAATGCGCCCCAAAGTCCACACAGTGAATAGAAAAAGATGTACAGCACTCTGAAAGCAATTGCACCCACTCCTCGCTGGGTTCTATGTCCTCAAGTGAACATACCTGTAAAATAATGTCCTCGGCTTGACCCATCCACGATTTGCCTCTTTTTAACCTGCTGCCGTTTATCATCTTGAATTAATGTTGTGTTTCCGCCTTGACTGTGAGGTAGGCACGAGCTCGGGAAATTTGTATTCTGTCTTCCATGGTCGGAAAATCGAGAAAGTAGCGCATGACCCTGCATGCTGTAGAAATAAACTCCACAGGGGAGCAAGTACAGCGGGGATCTACCAGTCATCAGTAGAAGTTATCCCTCGTCGACAAACGTTTCGGCCCACGAGCTCCTAGACGTTTTCAGAGAGTGGGCCCACCTGAGTTCATGAAGCTCAGGGCTGGTTTCCCCGCTGCACGGAATTACCGGATGGTGCTTTCTTTTCGGATAGGGACAAGACGCCTTGGTGATTTGCAGATGGTACTGTGAGAAAAGAAATCGTCGCGGTAGCATAATTAGAGCAGTCTGCATACCTGGACGACCGAGCGACAAGCTTACGATTGGTATATCGGACACATGTTAGGCTTTGTTAGCAGCTGGCAGAGGAACACTGGCAGACAATTAGGACACGATGGACTTTCAAGGGATGAGAAACCCTTTTCCACTAGTCACCCGGACCAGCTCACCGAGGCCCGTCCCCTACGTTGTTCCGTTGCGTCCAAAGCCAGCTCGAGGCCCTCTCAGCAACCTCGCCCAGCCGTTTAAGTGTTCGTTTGCGTTCATTACCGCGCAATCCTAGTTCTTTAACCACATTGTAGAGCGAAGTGGAAACGAGGCCTCTCGCTCCCACTTCGACGGCAAAAACACGTACTGTGTACGCCTCGTCTCTCCTCAGACCGGCTGCTAAATCACTGTATTTCTCGAGCTTGTACAGGTGATTTTCATCCATACGCGACTCATACGGGACGGTCAGCTCAATCAGGATAAGCTGTCGTTTCTCCGCAGAGTGGAGAACTATGTCAGGTCGCAGGCCGGTCCTCTGGATTAACTCAGGGTACCTTTAATGGCCTGGTAGATCAACCGCCAGTAACCAATCCCTCGCAGAGTCTAGCATAGATGGAGCGAATGCGCCTCGGTTGATCTTACCTTTTTGAATCTGCCCAGCCTTGAGGAAACGTATGGGGACGATGGTAGGACTGGCTCTAGCGTTAGCCCGCATCCTAGCCTGGTCAACAACGGCTGCTAACTCTTTAAGCACCTTGTTGTGTCGCCAGGTATATCGGCCTTGGCCTAGGGCTTTTCTGCACGCGGACAGGACTTGCTCAAGGGTCCGCTTCGCTTTGCACAGCGGGCAGGTTGGATCGTTAGTCGCAGACCACTTAACCATGTTAACACCGGACGGTAATACATCATACGCCGAACGAACGATAAAGCTCAATCGCAACGGGGTCATTCGCCAGATCTCACCCCATGTGAGTACTCTTGGCAATTCGCTCTCCAGGCTGACCCAATGGCCCTGCTGCGACTGCTGGGCTGCTTTCTGGAAACGAACCTCGTTTTCGTTGTCCATCACTTGTTGTATTACCATGTCTCGGCGTTCTTTTGCTGAGCATTTGACCACCAATTGACCTTCCCGTGACCTAGGCCTCGACGGTCGGTTTGAGTGTATCCCATTATCTCCCTCAATTTTAGTGCGTTCTGGGCGGATTCTATCGCATCGAGGACTCTCCTCTTCTGCCCAGTCTTGAGAGAGGGCTGGACAGCGGTGACATTTGGGTTCTGAAGACTCGCGCAAGTGCATGGCGAGTCTTACTTTGCCAACTTTAAACTCTTCGGTTATCGATTTGAACGGGAGTACCAGTTTAGCCTGCTTGCAACACAGAGCCACGTCGGTCAGACAAGACGGTGCACAAATCCACTTTCCTAATGTTGTGTTGATTTTTCTCTCCATGGTTTCCACTGCAGTCATCGTCACCTCGTAGACTAACAGCGGCCAGAGGAGCTTCGGAATCAACATGAATTGGAGACACCATACCTTGAATTTCCCCATCAGCCTGCAACGCTCGATCGCGAGCAGGCCTGTAGCCAGTGACTCGTGTATTCGCCGGACCTCCGCTCTGTCAGATAACTTCGAATCGTAAACGCGACCAAGGCTCTTCACCGGTTCCTCCAGAACCGTGGGGATCTTATTCCTTGCCACCGTAAAACTGGTTGCCGCCACTCGACCCTTAAGGATTGACAGACTCCTCGACTTCTGCGGTTTGAATTGTCATTTAATCAAACGTTAGTCTACCCGCGGAAAGTAGGTCACTTTCCATTGATAAATTTGTTGGACTAGTCTACCGTGGTCGGGGTTACGGGTGTGGCAGTCTGTTGTTGTCTGCATTTACGTTTTTATTCCGAGAAAGAGACTACCTGTGACATATGTTTTATCACTCTCGAAAGGGGTTGTGTGTTAAACCCAGTTGTCGATGTTTTTGGAGTGTTAAAAGCTCTAGCATGGAGGAATATACAACACTCGATGTCAACGGCATTGAAGAACACCCCCGTAACCTTGTGTGAAAGTCAGATGGCTCGAGGTTTGAGGTAGGTTAAAGGTTGACCAATCAGAAGCGAGCTAGTGTGTACCGGTGTCTAGAATGGGGGGGGGGGGGGCTATCTTTTGTTTCGCCAGTTTGTCATATAACAAAATGTTGTTGTTTTTTTATTCCCCAGGGCGCCATCATCGCCATCAAACCCATCAATAGAAACAACATCACCATCACCAAGCCAATGTTACTGGAAATCAAGAGGGTATATTTGTGTGTGTAGGAAGTGTTTGTGTGGGTGAGTGTGTGTGTGGTTTGTATGGAGGATGTTTGTATGGGTCGGTCAGTTGCGCGTGGAAGATTTGTGTATGGATGTGTCGTACGTTAACGATGTTTGTGTGGGTGTGTTGTGTGTTGTGTAGGAGAGTGTATTGTCTGGGTGAGGGTGTGGGTTTGTGGTTTAAGTGAGTGGGTTACCTGAAGAGTTTGCATTTTTGGTTTAGATTTTCTTATGTTTTTAAGTATGTTGTGTGAATGGAGGGTGTTTTGGTGTGTAGCTGAATGGCGTGTGTGTGTGTGTGTGTGTGGGTGGGTGGGTTGGTGGGTTGGTTAGTGGCAGAGTGTAATTAAGTATGTTATATGGGTGTATATGAGTGTGACTTTAGTGTGTGGAGGGCGTATTGTGTAGGTGTATTGTGTTGCGTGGTTGTGTGTTAAGTGAAGATAAAGAAGACAAGAAGCAGATGAAGAAAGAGGGACGGAAAAGAAAGAACCTCACAAATATTACATAACATTTATAACAAGTTTGATTAAATTTTATGTTTCGTTTTTTCCAATTGTTTTCATTCACTCGTTGATTGGGTAAATTCATTTATCGATCTAATAGACTGACTTGTTGATAAATTATACGGGAAATGACAGTCGTTTTCGCAGGCTAAAATGTTGCTAGGTATCATAACTGTAAAAAGATTCAACTAAACAGCTTATGTCTTGTTCTCTCCCTTTTGGTCAAGTCAGAATTGCACTACTGCAACCATGCGACCCGATAACTGCAAGTGACATGATGTTAAGCTAGCACATAAATGCTTGTCTATTTATGTCGGTCTTTCTGCCTGGACATTTTATTGTTATCTGCCATTTGTCTGTGGTTTGAGGTTTAAACATTGGATCAACATCATGGCACACGGGTAATAACCCATAACTGCTCCGCTCTTCTTCTAACTCAAGTCTGTCTGCGAAAAAAGCATAATGTTAAACCTGCTAGCGACCCCTTCATAGCCCTTTGAATATAAAAGTCATTCGTTTTATCTATGTAGCTATTTATCTACATATTTGTCTGCCTCTCTGTCTAATAATTATGTAGCAAATCCTTTGAAAAACCTCGCTCTCGTCACAGCCTGTCTATAAGAAACTCCCGCCTCGTGCACTCTCCTATCAAAAGTGTCACTTACATCCTGTGCCCATCTTCGTGCTGTTCCGTCCCTACCCCTTCTTCCTGGTACCATGCTTTCTCCTAATATTCCGAGACAAGGTGATGTTTACTAGCCAACCGCCCTTGGTGTTCAGATCTTTAAGGATGTCAGTATGTCTTTTCCATTTGTTCCATGGTGTTTTGAAAACCTGTCTTTACCGTTTCAATTCAAAAGCTGTTATTTTTCTTGCTTGATAACTGCAAGATAATCCATGACTCACATCCGTAAGTTGCTAAAGGTAAGCTACATGTTTTCAACATATTGCCTTGATTTCCTTCCTGGTGCTTAACCAGTTTTTTTTTTTTTTTTTATTGATTCTATGCTGGCGGTTAACCAGATTTTGTATGTGTCTCTCTCACCTATATGTATGTGTGTGTTGTATATATATATAAATATATATATATATATATATATATATATATATATATATATATATATATATATATATATATATATATATATAAGTCTACCTGTCTGTCATTATTTATGTATATCTGCAAAAGTATCGTGTTTTTGGCTAACAGCCTACTTTCCTGTCTGCCGAATTTCTCACCTAACAAACATGATTGCACATGTATTTGTCTGTCAATTGTTTCGAATATGTTGCCTGTTTGTCTCTTTGTCTCTTGCTTGCGACTTCTCTTTGCAGTATAGCTTCTGCTGTAAAATTCTTTCAAAGGCAAGCAAATGTTACTGCAGTACTTTTTAACACAGACCAGTTGAACTATATGGAATCAGTCGCTGAGTCTCGATGAACCAAAATCCTGAGTGTCGGGTCACGTTCCCTAGTGTAGAGAAAACAAGAATCGACATAATGCATTCCCCCCGCCTCAAAACCCAACCCCACGTCTCCGTCGTGAGAGATGGTTACAGGAGAAAGTAGGGGATTGCTAGGATCGGCCAGAGCCTGGTGTGGCCTTGTGCCGCTACGGTAGCAATGAAGGCCGTCCTGGGTCACCCCGAAACGTCCTGGCCAAAGGGGCTCTGGTGAAGTTGCGACAGGCCTAGCAAGCCGGCAATGGATGTAATACTGCTACAACAAGTACAATGAGCACGAAGCAGGACCTTAGATCTCACTAGACACCCGAAGCGGTTTAAAAAAAAAGCAAAGAAGAGGAAGAAGAAGAAGAAGAAGAAGAAGAAGAAGAAGAAGAAGAAGAAGAAGAAGAAGAAGAAGAAGAAGAAGAAGAAGAAGAAGAAGAAGAAGAAGAAGAAGAAGAAGAAGAAGAAGAAGAAGAAAAAGAAGAACAAGAACAAGAACAAGAACAAGAAGACGAAGAAGAACAAGAACAAGAAGAACAAGAAGCATCCCCAACAAGCATGTCGTGAGAGTCAACTAGCTGGGACCTTCCTTGAAGTCGGACAGCATTTGCCTGTGAGGAAAGGAACCAATAGTCTGCATACAGATAAGTCAGACTGATAAGACAAGATAGATGTGCACGCAACACTTACGTTTTGGAACAAGACTGAAATTCCCAGCACGACAAACTACAAGAACTTTCTGCCGGAGCTGATAAACGCGAAGAAGAAGAAGAATGAATTAAAATAGTACAAATATGAAACAGGATAAGTTAGTAAAAATGATGAACAAAAAGAAATACGACTAGACTTTATTTTTAAAGGGTTTAAATTTGGACACGCAGACCCATTTAAGATTCTACCTTTTTAGTCTTGCTCCTTTCATAACTCATTTCAATCATACATCATTTCATTCATACCTCATTTAATTATTACCTCATTTATTTCATACCTCACTTGATTAATACATCATATCATTCATACCTCATTTCCTTCACACATCGTCTGACTGACTGACTTTCTACCTCACCAGGACATCACACAAGCGATAAACATCCGATGACACAAAGTGCCACCATGTGGATGAGGATCACCGTGGAGAGGTCCCAGAAACCGTGTTCAGCCATCAGGCCATATTTATGGCCAGGTTATTTGCGGCCCCTGGCATGAGCCAGTGAAGGGCATCAAATATCGAAAAATTGCATCCTAAAAAGGACAGCAAGATTACACACACAAAACACATATCGTTTCATTCATAGATCATTTCATTCATACATATGTTAACAAATAATGTAAAAAATTATCAACAAAGGCTAAATATTAAATACATGCTCGAATTGCATCCACATTGCTAACCACAGTAAGCCGTAGTAAGCTAAATAAAGAGGCCTTTTCCACGCTGTCAGACGTACAGGGCATATAGGGTTAGATCGACATGTTATAGACTAGTTGGCACTCGGTATGTGATGTGGCCCGGATCTCGCATGTAAGCCAAAGTAATTGTATTTAATAAAGGTGGAATAAACGCTATGTTTAAAGTACTTTTATCCTTTAAGAGGGCATGTGTGTTTGAATAATATTTGAACAGTTTCGGATTGTTTGTCAATGGGCTAATGGTATATTTGATATGTTATGGAAGATTGTTCAACGGCTGAGTACGTTAAACTTGCTTTGTGAATCCTATGTTCAGGAATATATAATGGGTTTAGGCGTTTGGTGCGTCTTCCATTATATTTTAATAACGCTTGTGTGATGTCCTGGTGGGGTAAAATTTACTTACTTACTAACGGCCATAAGTAGCGTGGGCGTGAACGATTAATAATAAAGTAAAGGTCTCTTTTCCATGCCCTTAGACGTATTGGTAGTATAGGGCTAGTCCTATATTTTTATAGACCAAAGGCACAAAATAGGTGATGTTGTCAACATCATGCAGGCCGCCTTTACTTCCCAGGACTGAACCTGGTACCCATTCAAGGCTGGATCAACCAGGAAGTCAAGGCGTTTTTGAAAAACAGTCGGCTCTGTCAAAACGTGAACCCACGATCTTTCGATCCACAGGCGGGAGTCTAGCCGCCAACGTCAAGGCGACTCCCTACCTGATAAAGAGCAATTTCAAAAGAGGGATCCATACACTGTATAAAATTGTCTCTTTCGTATACTATTAGATGAAAGATCTGCAGAATGATCACATTGTCCGGTTCATCGGAGCCTGTATAGACTGCTCCAACTGCTGCATCCTCACGGAGTACTGCCCCAAAGGGAGTCTACAGGTATATAGAACAATACTGTCGTTGACTCACTTGCTCTCATTGTATCGGTTCTGCTCTTTTGGGAGGAATGTGGGTGGTTAGCAGTTGTTAGAAGTGTGTGTACTGTCAAGTCAGGAAGACGCGCAGTTAGTCAAGTAGAGTAACGTGCTACCTGGTGACATATCAGGGATTTGATGCTTTACTCATATTTGTATATGCTAATCTGTACTCAGTAGCTGATGCGGTCGACATCATACCGTCGTCCTTTACTTCCCATAACATTACCTAGTACCCACTTAAGGTTGACATACAGTGAGAGATACAGAGAGAGAGAGACAGAGACAGAGATAGAGGGGGTGGAGAAACTGGGGAGAGAGACAGATTGATAAAGAGATATGAAAGCATGCGAATCGACAGCTGGACAGTTAACTAGAAAAAACACACAATAGGTAGGCAGTAATGTATGTGTGTGTGTGTGTATTTACACATAAAAGGTCCGACAATTAAGTAATAAGACTGATTTTAATATGGCCAAGACAAAAGTGCCATCTACGAAGCAAAGCATGGTATCTAAAGAGGCAACATTCATCTATGATCTGGCAACTTTTCATCGCCGCTCGACAAGCAGACAACAAACAAGCAGCCATTTTGTTGACCTAGTCAGAGATGCATTGTTACGTAATCAGCAGGTAGCAAAAAGCTAACATTAAATTCTTTTTAAAAGTAAGAAAAAGCGCTGTTAACACAGTTGAATTGATGCAACAAGTTTATGGGGATAATTGTTCATCTCGTGCATACATTTTCATGTGGTATTCACGATTCAAAAGTGGTGCGGAGAAGATTACTTGTGCAACTAGACCTGCTTATTGCAAAAAGTCAGAGAACGGATACAAGAAAATCATTGTTTTACTGTCAGGATGATGGCAGATGAATCTGGTAATAATAGAGAGACCATTAATAACATTTTAGTGCAAGAATTTAGCAAGAAAAGAGTTGCTTGCCGGTTTGTACCACATTCGTTGTCTGATGACCATAAACATCAGCGGGTTGAGTACCCAAGAGACATCATGAAAACAAAGAATTTTGGGTCCAAAAAACAAGTGTGTGTTCTCAGCCTTCCACCCTTTTTCCCAGATTTGTCTCCCTGTGATTATTTTCTATTCTCAAAATTAAAGTTACGATTGAAAGGACGCTTCTTTAACGATATTGATGACATCCAAAGGGCCGTAACATCGACTTTAAGGGCCATAACAACAGAAGCACTACGGAGGTCGTTCCAGTGTTTGTTAGATAGTGCCACTTGCTGTATCAATGCATAAGGAGCTTTCTTTGAATAAAATACAGATTATATCTTCAGCTGTTTATATTTTAAATTTATATGGAATTAGTCTCATTACTTTATTGTCGGACCTTGCACCTTTATATATATATATATATATATGTAATTGACACGCAGACAGACGGAGAGAGATAGACGGTCTGCATATGTTATCACCTAGCTTTATATGCTACGTTGTTTTCAGGACGAAATTTTTTGTTATTTGAAGCCCCACCCTGGTTTTTGCCAGGGGCCGCAATATAGGCAGGCCATAAATATGGCCAGCTGTCTGAACGCGGTTACTGGGACCTCTCCACGGTGATCCTCATCCACATGGTGGCACATTTTGTCCTCGGGTGTTTATCGCTTGTGTGATGTCTTAGTGGGGTAAGAAGTCAGTCAGTCAGTCAGATAGGCGGACAGACACATAAATAGGCAGACTGATTGACCAATGGATTCTTGACTGATTGTAACACAACATCATGTTATTATTTTCAGGATGTTCTAGAAAACGATCAAATCAAGCTTGATTGGATGTTCCGTTATTCTATCATGCAAGACATTGTCAGGGTTTGTTACGTTACTGTATTATCATCATCATTATCACCTCCATCACCACCACCTTTATAATCATCACCCTCGCAATCATTATCATCATCATCAAGAGTTTTGCCGACTTATATATGCGATCACATTTTCCTACATCTTGTTATCTCTATCAGTGTTTCTACTGTTGCACATAATCTCCTTTCCCTGTCTACCTGTTTCTTTCTTACCAGAAACTTCACCAGTTGTCGCAACATGTTCCATTTTTGTCTCTTTTTATACTTTGGTAAAGAAGATTACTGCTTGTTTATGATGTTTATGATAAGCTGTCTTCTTGAGCACACCTCCATATAAGTCTTCTTGAGCACACCTCCATATAAATGTCTAGATGACTCATTTTAGCTGCCTAACCATTCTTCTGTGAGATCACAACTCAATCTTTGGGCCGTATTTTGCTTTGTTCACTAAATGTCTGAAAGTCACGACCATGTGTTAGATTCGTTCTATGAAGAAGGCAAATGTTTCTGTTATTTTGTTTTTAACTATTTTTGTTTGTCTATCTCGCCTCTGTCATCACCCGCTACTACATGTCCAAGCTATGAGAACTTTGTAATTTGTCTCTGAATATCCAATTTTTTTATTGTAGTTATCATAGTTTATATATATCACTATATTATACAAATCCTTTCCACTGTTATATATTATCATATATATATATATATATATATATATTTTTTTTTTTGGGGGGGGGGGGGAGCAATTTAAAAAAGCGGCCTGGGAGGGGGGGGGGGGGGGGATAATAACTAAACCATACTCTGTACTTAACCTCTTTACTTGTTCCATTAGGTCTTGTATCCCCTCCTGCTCACCTTATACTAGTAACACAACGCTCTCGGCAAATTTCAAATTCTCTATTACTCTATCATTGCGTCTCAATCGAATCTGCTTATGTATCTATTTACATGTTAAAAAAAATTATCGTGATAAAGAAATCATTATTACTATTGTTTTTTATTTTTTATTTTTATAATGAAGAAATCATTATTATTAATTAACCACTTATTTTCCTTTTGATGTCTTGTTATATCAGGGAATGGCATACCTACAGGGTACAGAGATCCACTCCCATGGCAACCTGAAGAGCAGCAACTGTGTTGTGGACAGTCGGTTTGTGGTCAAGATTACCGATTTTGGACTGCACCACCTTCGGGGGACGGCTAACCCCAGCGAGGAGGACAAGCAGAACTACAGTTATTATCAAAGTAAGTTTTAGAATCGTGTTAAATAGTCACCCTGGTCTCATAGTTCAGATCATATGTACTTCATATTTATGTATTCTCTACATCTGCTAATTTCCACAGAAACTGAACTGCTTTTCGTGGGGAATGCCTTTCATCTGTGCCGGCAGCTGACGTGTAATTTTCAGAAAATGACATTTGGCCAATCTGTAATCTCGCTGTCAATGTACCTTATGCAGTAATTGTGTCTGTGTACTCCCAGCTTGTCGTGACTGACTACTTTAAACAATGAGAAGCTGCCATTATGGTTGGAGAGTGTTAGCTTTGAAACTTCAACCGACTGCCTTATGTATTCACTGCGTGTGCATGTTTATGAATTTTGGTGGGACGAATTGTCTCTTCACTTTTTTTCCAATGGGTCAGTGAAGAGCATTTTATGAGATTTTCAATGGCACAGGAACAGCCCTTTCGTCTATCAGTTGTTGTACCTCTAATTCTGCCATACCGTTACACCACTCTCTACATTCTCTTCCTAACCTAATAATGAACTGATGGTAACTGATGTAGTGGGTGTTCTTGTCGACCCATTCCTGGCCCCAGCTGTATTTGCTCCACTGAGGCCACCGGCCCGATCGTATCTTCAGCGAGTGCCATCCATGACTTTCCTCTTTTCAGCCGGTCTCCTCTTAAATAGTTCAGACTGTCATGCAACGGATGCCTCTCATCATTGTTAATTCGCATATAGATCTTGGCTTGAGCTACTAACAGTCTAGACTCTACCGATGTTCGCCCAAGCGTATATCTCATTGTTCTAATTGGTGTATCTCGTATGCAGCCTAAAGCGATTCAAGTTCAAGAATCCGTTCGTTTTGTACGTTGTGAATTAAATAGAGGTACAATTCCTAGACCGTTATAAATTACTGAAAGGACCAAATGGTTGTTCAATAAGACCAATAGTCTTTGTTCCTTGCGTGTGGCCATTATCGTCTTCAGTGCCACCACGCCACCTTGCATTTAATCACAGTCTGCTCTTTGGACATCCTCATACTCAATTCTCATGCTCTATTCTCTGAGGCAGCAGCTATTCCAAGGTACCTCTATTGATTGTTTCCATGCGAAGTTACTTCTAGTGTCTCCCGTCATGGCCTCGAAGACGTCATAGACGTGCTTCACCAAGCTTTATCCCCAGGTCATTTTTATATATGTGCATTGCCTCTATTTCTTCTACAGGTATGCTATGGACAGCACCTGAGTTGCTACGGATGACCTACCGCCCACCGGAAGGAACCGTCAAAGGGGATGTCTACAGCTTTGCCATCATCTGCCAAGAAATTGTTTACAGAAATGGAGTATTCTACATACAGCATTATGATCTGTCGCCACAAGGTATGTAAGTAAGTAAGTAAAGACCCTTTCACGCCTTTAGGCGTATCGGGCATATGGGAAGAGCGCCCATATTTTTACAGACCATCAGCACTCGGTGGGTAATGTGGTCAGCATTACGCCGGCTGTCTTTACTTTCCCAGGACAGCCCATCCTGGTACCCATTTGAGGCTAGGTCGACCTGCGACGTCCCATACCACGATAAAAATCCACGCAGCCCGCAGTGGGTTTCGATCGCGGTACGTTGGATTACGAGTCGGACTCGCAACGCTTTAGCCACGGACGCCGCCACAAGGTATGTAGGAAGCCATAATCAAGCTAAATGTGTATGTTTGGGCGAGAGAATCTGGTAATCTGGTAATCCTAGTTTCCAGATTTGGGCGAGAGAAGGGGGTGGGGAGAGTGAGAGAGATAGAGAGAGAGAGAGGGTAGAGGTAGAGAAAGTATTAAAAGACTAAAAAGAGTTTGGGGACAAAAAAGAGAGAGGGTGGGGTGGATGTTGAATGAGTTTTCGTCTTCATTGTCTACTTTGATATGATATTTAAAAGTACCTGCTACTTTGATATGATATTTAAAAGAACTTGCTACTTTGATATGATATTTAAAAGTCCCTGCTTCTTTGATATGATACTTAAAAGTACCTGCTACTTTGATATGATATATTTAAAAGTACCTGCTGTTTTGATATGATACTTAAAAGAAAGTAATCACACACACAAAAAAGAAAGAAAACGAAAAATTAGAACAAAGAAGAAGCAAACATTGCACCTGGTCTTGAGTGGGTACCGGGCGCAGTTCCTGGAAGAAAAGGCGGCCTGTGTGATGCTGACCACATCACCCATCTTGTGCCGATTGGTCTTTAAAAATATAGGTCTAGCCCTATATGCCCTATAAGCCTAAAGGCGTGGAAGAGGGTCGTTCACTTACTTTTTACTTTGATAGTTTGTTGTATCTAGTCAGGTGTAAACAACAGTAACAATAAATACGATAAATCAAATAAATTAAATCTTCCAATGTAATAACAATATCTTCTCCATTTAAATTACCCAATTTGTTTTATCTGGGTACAGCCATGTTTATTGCTATAATATGGGAGTGGGAGAGGCTGCGTGGTCTAGAGGTATGTTGTCTGCCTCGAGAGCTAGAGGTCCTGTGTTCAGGGCACGGTGAGGGCTGGGATTTATTTCTGTTAGCGTGGACTTCTTGTAATTTTCCTTGATCTGGTTGCGCACATTAAAAAAGAACGTTTTCACTTGGAAATCGAAAAGAGTAGCCAAACGGTGGTACCCGCGCCAAATTTTGAGTTAAATATCTACCTAAAATATTTCAGGAACCTCGCCGGTACTACGGAGTTCGCTCACTGAGCTGAGATTCTTCAGACTCGGGCTCGAGTTAGCAGTAGAACGAAGCACTTATAGGTTACTACTCCTGTGGCATGATGTTGATCTGTCGTTCAAACTTCAAAAACTTTTTTTTTTTGGCTATAGTAAGCATCTAACAAGGTATAGCGAAATATAACGGGTTATAATATGTAATTTATGTTGTTTGTGTGTTGCTCACATTTACAATATTGTTTTAATTTTCTAAAGGGAAAAATTAAATGGAATTCCTAGCTACATTGCTTAGCTACATTGACGGTTGCATAGGTTAGTTACATGGGTTACCTACATAACTTACCTAACTGGCTTGTCTACATGGATTGGCTACAAACATGCCTGGCAAAATGGCTTGGCTACATTGTTCAGCTATATTAATTGCTATAAGTCGTGGCTAAATGGCCTTGCTACGTAGTTTAGCTACATTGCTTGGCTAAATGGTTTGGCTGCATGGTTTGGATACGTGGCCTGGCTACATTCCTTGACTATATATGGCTTGACGATTTGGCTATATGGCTTGCCTTTATGGCTATATGGCTTGCCTTTATGGCTATATGGCTTGCATTTATGGCTATATGGCTTGCCTACACACCTGTAAAAAAAAAGGAAAAATTATCTGAAAAGTGCAAAAGTAAGAAAACGATTAAGCTACATTGTTTTGCTATATGACTAGGCTACATCGTTTCGCTACATGTCTTTGCTATAAGGCTTGGCCATAGGGCTTGGCTATAGGGCTGGGCTATAGTGCTTGGCTATAAAGCTTTAAAGTTTTTGTGTGTATTTTTTTTTTCAACGACAACTAGCAGTTATGTATCTAAAAAACCCAGTGAAAGACTTGGCATGTCTGCATTGCTCAACTGCTATTTGTCTACATTGACGTGTTACATGTCTTTGCTGCACAGCTACAAAATAATTTATAATTTATCGACAATTAATCATTCTGATCGGAAAAGTTCATGTAGAAAATATTAATTAGATTCATGGCATGAGCAGAACAATAACATAAACCTCATTTGAGACTCCACCTTTTATGTGAGATGGCGTGTTAGTACCGCGAGAATTATTAGTATGGTACAGAATGATGATTACTTGATAAACTAACACGGTACACTAATAATGTTGTACCCCTTGATTACAGAAATCTACCAAAAGGTCAAACTTGGCATGAAGCCATACTTTAGGCCCACATTAGAAGAATTTGACTGCCCTTGTGATGAGCTGGCCGGTGTTATCAGGTTGGATATTAGTTCTTCTTCTTCTTCTTCTTTTTCTTCTTCTTCTTCTTCTTCTTCTTCTTCTTCTTCTTCTTCTTCTTCTTCTTCTTCTTCTTCTTCTTCTTCTTCTTCTTCTTCTTCTTCTTCTTCTTCTTCTTCTTCTTCTTCTTCTTCTTCTTCTTCTTCTTCTTCTTCTTCTTCTTCTTCTTCTTCTTCTTCTTCTTCTTCTTCTTCTTCTGACACTGCTGCATCTTCTCTTCTTCCGCATCTATTACAATTTCTTTGGTTTTTTCTGCTTCTCCTCTTTTTTACTTTTTTCGTCAACTTCCCTTTCGGTGTTGTTTTAATACTGCTTGGTAAACAATCTGTGACTATTTTGTTGGTTCCTTTACTGTCAGCTTGCTGACAATCTCGGACAGAAATATATGCATGTCTTTTATTTACAAGAAAAACTGTAGTCTCCTAGAAGACGTTTGGCCGATTTGACATTCACCGGCTGTCAATTCTGGTTGTTCATCCACTTCTGAACTTATTTCTTTTTCCAGAAATTGAGTTTTGCCTGCATATCTATTTGATAAATCTGGCTTATTTGTATGCAGACGTTATTTTCTTGCCTCTCATGCTGATACAACTGGACTTTGAACAAAACCGCAACAACAATACTCTAAGTCAACTATTAATTACGAAATACTTGTTGGGGGAGAGGGGAGGGGTACACCTCGTTTTTGTTGTTTGTTTGCGTTTTCCAGCTGTCAGCTCCGATGGAAAGTCCTGATTGTTCGTGCATTTTTTATCTTTGGCGTTTTTTCCAGGACCAGGGTTTTGCGTGAGCATCCGTTTTGCAGATCTGGCAGATCCGGCTTATTTTTAAGCAGAACGTTAGCGCCTTGCCTCTCAAGCAGACGCACTCCGACTTTGAAATTAGTCTTAATTAGTCGTCATCTAGGACATGCTTGTCGGGGATAGGGGCAGTGGGTTTATTCTATATGCCCCTTTTTTTTCCTCCTAGAGCCCATGCGGAAATGAGGAGATGAGCCTGAACCATTGCGTCTAACAGGGATATATTCTTGCACTATATTGGCTCTCCTCTCTAGGAAGGACTTAAATGTTCGTAATGTCTGTTTGTTTTTTGGATGCTTTCCCCTGAACTTACATTTTAGTCGCAACTTTCTACGTTTATTTCAGACGGTGCTGGTCTGAAGACCCTGCAGACAGGCCAGATTTTCAAGCTCTGAAGTCTATAATTAGAAAGTTAAACAGGTATGTTTGCCTAACAGCCACATCTATTATAAATATAATAGAAAAGTAAATAAACAGCTTTATGAGTTTTTACAAATGCGAATTGTCAATAGTTTTTTATACTTAACAGGCTCTGTGGTGCAGAAACTAGAACTGAAAATGTGAATGCCCAGAAGCGTAGGTGGTATTTCATAGTCACCCCTCCCCCATCTCCCACCAGTCAAAAAAAAATACACAGATACTGGGCAGAATGAATGAAAATAAAGTTTCTGAAAGAACTAAATAACGAGACATGTGAACTGTTTAGGCCAAATGAAAAGCCATTACATTCTTTTTAAAACCCTGCTGCAGGGAAAAATCGAGGCTAATAAAAATTCTTCTTCTGCTGCTCCTCCTTCTTCTACGTCTTCTTCTTCTACTTACACTACTTCTACTACTCCTCCTCCTCCTCCTCCTGCTACTGCTGCTGCTGAGTAGTTATCTGGTTTTTGTTTTTTTAATTTCACCTTTCAATGTAATATAGGACAGAACCAAATATTAGGAAACCCTTTAAAGTTGTCTTTGGGATCGCCGTGGCGAAACGGCTAGACGCTAGCCTGCAGTCGGAAGGTCATGGATTCACTACCTGGTGGAGCCAGATTTTTTTTTTTTTTTAACATGACCTTGGCTTCCATGTCAACCCAGCCTTGAGTGAGTACCGCGTGCAGTCCTGGGAAGTAAAGGCGGCTGGCGTTATGCTGACCACATTACCCATATTGAGCCTTTGGTCTATAAAATATATGTCTAGCCCTATATACCCAATACGCCTGAAAAGAAAAGTGTCTTTTGCTTTACTTTACTTTATATATAGTTATCGTAATGACTGCCTGGGTTTCACGGCTATAGAAGGAAGTAACCGGTTTTACACCTACTTTCTTCGGTCTACTCCTACATCGAACAAAGCTTGGTTACAATGCTACTACTCCTTCTTTTACTCACCGTCCCCAGAAATTGTTCGGGATAACATTAGTCTACTTTGGGGTGCCTCCGTGATGGAGTTATCAAGCCATTTGATTCTGGCTCTAAAGGTTCGAGGTTTGTTTCGTTGACATGTCGTTTGATCGATGAACACAGTTTTTATGGAGATCCGTTATCTTCTGCTTTACTATATTCTAGGGATGGAGACAAGGGGAACATCCTGGACAATCTGTTGTCTCGCATGGAGCAGTACGCCAACAATTTGGAGGCCTTGGTGGAAGAACGTACAGCAGACTATTTGCAACAGAAGAAGAAGGCAGAAGATCTATTGTATAATATGTTACCAAAGTAAGTCATTCTTTCGGGTTTCGACGTGTAGTGCATGATTACTGATTTAATAATCTTCATCAAAGCACACATGGCATACCGATGGATGCTCTGTCTCCTGCATCAAATGCCGTGAGGCGTAGATGCTAACTGTTCCTGTAGAACACTGATTATACATGGTCGTTCTCTTCCTCTAATCATTTGGCTCCCAACCTTCCTGATGCCGCGACCCTTTAATAAGTTCCTTGTGGTGACCCCCAACCATACATTTATTTTCGTTGCTACTTCATAACTTCAGTGAATATGTTTTTGTTTTTTTCCGATGGTCTTAGGCGACACCTGTCAAAGGGTCGTTCGACCCACAAAAGGGTCAGGACTCTCAGGTTGAGAACTGCATCTCAATTACCTCCTTGCTTGCTTGATCCACTGCCAGTATCATGCTCACACATTGTTCGTTACACATGTTATTTTATCTAGCCACTGGCCCTCTATCAGCATCCATACAAATACGGTCTTCAATATGTCACCTGTGTCCAGTGGCTATCGCTTTTGTAGCAAACACATCCGCTCTTTCATTTCCTCGCACTCGTGCAAATCCGGGACACTCATGCCACATTTGTCAATTCTGAGACTTCCGCAGTACAACATCTAATGATGCCTAGCGCAGCACTGCTTGTAAGGATCTAAAGAGTTCAATGTTTGGACTCGACCTAACTTGAATACAGTGAAGCGTCCCAGAAAGTAAAGATGGTCTGCGACATCATTCATTGAGTGGTGTCAATTAATCTATACAAACATGAATCTAGAATAATAGACCTGACGTCAAAAAGGATCCTACATTTGTTGTTTGTTAGAAAGCAGATAAGGCCAAATTTGGCACGGAAATCAGTATTGGGTTCTGCGAGCAGGGAGATGTCACGTATATCTATGGTCATTGCCTGTGTTTGTCACGTTCTAGGGTCGTGTAGGACTGGAATGGGGGCGGGGGATGGGAGGTGTCCTTGAGGCTTAGAATTTAGGGCGGTGTGTTTAGTGCAGTTGCCACGTACTGTGGAGGTTAAAATTATATTTTGGCACCTGTAAATGAGTCCCTATTAAATGTAAAGAATCTGTTTGCACGCCGCCATGCGTATTGTATGTATATTTTAATCTGACCGGCGCTCAACACTCAGGGGCAAGGCGAGAAGGATACACAATCAGACAGTTACTGGTGCCATCGGAATTGAGACTCTTCGCTTGCTGCTGAAGATGTGAACGGAGCGCTTACGGGGATGTCTCGAGTGTTACTTCACCCTTCTACAACATTCAACATTCCTATATGTTTTAGTACTTGGTACTTGGTAAGTAATATGATTAGCACCACGCTAGCCGCCATTGCTTCCCAGGACTGTACCTGGTGCCCACTCATGGCTGGGTCGACCTGGGAGACGAGGTAAACACAAATCTGGTTCCGTCAGGGTCCGAACCTGCGACATTATTATCCGTCGTCGAGCGTCTAGCCTCTATACAATGGTGGTTCCCCGTAAATGAAGTATATCACGTAAACTATTTTATTAATATCTGTAAGTTGTATCACAGTCGGCTCTGTGGCTAAGTCGATACGAACGCTTTGTAATGCCAGGGTGCCGGGTTCGATCCCAGCTGCGGGCAATGCGCCTTGTGTTGGTTTCGACAGTGGTATCAGGGGGCCGACCGTCCAGTTGAAATGGCAAACTACTGGACGTAAATTTGCCTAGAGAAACCACACAACAGCCAGGGGCTGCTGGGGTTGGTTCTGCAACGTCCTGTAAAAGGATACGCAACTAAAAGTCAAAGTTGTATCACATAAACTTGCAGCAGCAACAGCAACAACAACAAAAAATAGGGTACGGGAAAGAAAACTATTTTGTGCTTCAAGTTTCTAAAGTTAAAACTTACAAATAACATCTTATAAATATTACACTGAATCAAATTACCATACATCGGCTAAGAATCACGAACATTACATATCGATCAGCAATTGGAAATGCAAATGAACAAGATAAGTAGTGCGTTGATCGGCCTAAATTTTAAATTATAAATTCTAATTCTCTTAAAATGACCACTTTCAGCTAGATAATTATAAATTTGAAAGCCTTCATACAAATACTGCGAATAAAACCAGAAGAGATCGAGTGAGAAATGATGTGATTACAAGAACTATTGGAACCATACCCATCGTTAAATTTATTGAGAAGCAAAGAATGAAATGGTTTGGTCACCTAGTGAGAATGGAACCAACGATGCCAGCATCAAGAGCATACAACATGAAAATCGAAACACCAAGACGCAGGGGAAGACCAAGAAGAAGATGGATTGAAGGAGTCACGGACAACTTGAGACTTCATAACATCACGGCATATGAAGCGACTGAGCGAGCCCTGGCTCGGTTGCCGATCATCTGGTAGACTGCGACGCCTAGCGGCACAAGCAGATTTTGACAAAAGAAGAAGATACAAATAGCTCTTACCTGTCGAAAGATTGTTCATAGTTCGGCGTTCTAGCATGGTAGGAAAATGTTCTTTTCAGATCAGTACTGCTTTTTTGCGTTCGACCCAGCCTAATATAATGGACAAATGACAAACTGAAGAACTGTATAAAGATTGCCTAAGAAGGAATGGTGTTTCAAGATTTCAAGGTTTGAAGTGCCAGTGAAGCAAGTGGATGAGTGGAGTAGGAAGTTTTGAAACATTTTGCCAAGACCGGCTCCAGCTGATGGGCCATACTGCTGACGTCACCAAACTGGGAAAACGATGTGTTATTAAGAAAACAAGAACAACTGCAATTTTAAAGTCAAGCCGATCTGGAAAAATAGAGATGAATGGAGGCGAATGAAATCTGCAGCAATGAACCTTAGGGGCTAGGAAGGCTGAATAATAATAATAATAATAATAATAAGAAGAAGAAGAAGAAGAAGAAGAAGAAGAAGAAGAAGAAGAAGAAGAAGAAGAAGAAGAAGAAGAAGAAAAGAAGAAGAAAGAAGAAGAAGATGATAGAAGAAGAAGAAGAAGAAGAAGAAGAAGAAGAAGAAGAAGAAGAAGAAGAAGAAGAAGAAGAAGAAGAAGAAGAAGAAGAAGAAGAAGAAGAAGAAGAAGAAGAAGAAGAAGAAGATCTGGAAAATTCTGGATTATTGGACGGCACCCCTGACATACGCTCGTGGCACCCCTGGCTGCCGCGGCCCCCAGTTTGAGAATCGCTGCGTTAACTATCGTTAGCCCGGTTTGGTGACGTCAGAAGCAGTACATGTCAGCCTGAGCAGGTCTTGGTCAGGCACACCGATTAGTGCCCCGCCACCCTCCCTTAAAGTCGATTGCAGCCGTTGACGGCCTCGTGAAGGACAAGCCCCAATTGAGACTGACCGTGTCACACATCTTGAAATCAGTCAAGGTCAGCGGACCACATCATGGATGATGTGCTATAGTACCGTACAGTGTGTCCTGTAAGCTGGGTACCACGCCAGCTTACTGTAGACTGAAACAACAAAGACCCAATCATGCTTGTCAAGAACGTGTACCGTGCTTTAAAGAAGAAGTGAATGAGTGTCATTTCAAAAATTACTACTGGAGATAAAATATGGGCTATCTTTCGAAAAACGGTCCCAAATTATCGAGGCCGAAAATATACCCTAACAGGTGGCCTCAGTCACATGTAAATTGGCTGGGGGGGGGTGGGGGGAGGGGGTAGAGGCAGATATGGTACCATCCTTCCTCACTGAAAGATGCAGGGAAAGTTATGCTGGCCCTTTTTAGTGTGAATCAGACGTTATTTTATAACTCGACATGCCAAGTGTGGGAAGCCTCTGTGGTCTCACGGTCAGACGATCATCTGCAGATCCGAAGGTTGTAGGTACAGGTCCTAACGGAGACGGGAATTTTTTTTTTTTTTTTTTTTTACAAAAATGACCTTGGCTCGCAGGTTGAACCCAGCCTTAAGTGGGTACCAGGTAAAGTCATGGGAAATAAAGGCAGCCGGTGTGATGTTGACTACATCCCCCATCAAGTACAGGTTGGTCTATAAAATTGTGTTCTACGCTAGATGCCCAACACGCCTGAAGGCGTGGTTCTGGTCCTTTACTTGTACATGCCCAGAAGAAAAACTTACGTCATACACATAGAGACCTCATGAACTATCTTGCAATCAAATGCAAAACTGCGTGGCCTTCTGGGTAAAGGCTTCTTTTTGCAGCTTGACAAATCTTGATCCTTTGCTTCCCATGCAACCTTTGAAACCATAGAAGACCACTACTTTCAGTGTGTGCCACGTACCTCCTATCACCGCAGACCCAGCCCCAAGTGATTTCCACTTGTCTGGATAACACGGAAAGTTAATGGGAGGTAAGACTTTTCGACCTGATAAAGATGGTGCCATTGTGATGCATGAGATTTTACACACGCAACCAAGACAATTTTTCTCTACAGAAGCCCCAGCACGTTATCAGTCATGGAGGACTCGAACTCAGTGTTGACTACATAGAAAATTGATACATTTGTTCTATACTGTTTTAGAAAATATCCATCAAAACATCTATTTGAAGCGCACACGTATATGCGTGCAAGTTTTACCTTATCCAGTAATACAGTGTGTCTAGTAGAACCATAAACAGCCAACAAATACTGAAGTTGGTTTCGACTGACCATGAAGGAACAGCAACTAAATTGTACATATAGATAGTCCCATAACCTATACTTCCAATGTTATCTTAAGTGCAAGAGCACACAGTTTATGTGTAAATGTCCATATATATATATATATATATATATATATATATATATATATATATATATATATATATATATATATATATATATATATATATATATATATATATATATATATACATACATATTTATATGTATATACATAAACATACGGGAGCTAGCGGATCGCAAGGTCGTGGGTTCGATTCCTGACGAGGGCCGGACGTTTTTTTTTTAAATGGCCTTGGCTTCCAAGTCGACCCAGCCTTGAGTGGGTACCAGGTGTAGTCCTGGGAAGTAAAAGCGGCTGGTGCGATGCTGACCACATCACCCACCAAGTGCCGTTTAGTCTTTAAAATATAGGTCTAGCCAAATATACCCAATAGGCCTGAAAGGCGAGGGAAAGGGTCCTTTACTTACTTTGTTATTTACATGCACATACGCACAAACCAGTTGTTGAAGTTCGCTGTCACCTAATGTCTTCATGTTTTGCAGAAAAGTTGCCTCGCAGCTAATCAGGGGCGAATCCGTCACAGCCGAGTGGTATGACAATGTGTCGATATACTTCAGTGACATCTGTGGTTTCACTGCCTTGTCTGCGGAGAGTACGCCGATGGAAGTAAGTAAAGAGTACAGAATCTGTATCAAAGTGTTTAGAGTTATTGCATCTATGATGCTACCCTGAAATCACCACACGTATGATTAGATGCTTGACGAAAGCGCCAGCTGTACCATCTGAGACTGACTTTGGGGACAACACTTTGCACCAAATTTATTAGGAATCAGAAGATCAGATAATGTCACCATCTCGTTAGAATGCAATCACAATTAGACTATAGCTGCATCTTAACAGAACTGGAGGGAAGGAGGGAAAAAAAAGGGGGGGGGGGGGCAAAGGCAAAGTGGACTAATGACATTAAAGTCACGTTATCTCGACATGAAAGAATGATATCTGATGCAACCCGCTGAGCAATACACTGCAAACAGTTCCTCCGACGACATTTAGAGGGGATCAAGTAAGCTTGCTAGCGTCACCACGCTTCCTACACAGCTAGACATAAATAAATATGGCAGCCATACATGTGACAGTTCATGGAAGTGAGAGGGGTCATGTTTATACCTTACATTTAACAGAACACTATAATGCAGAGCTATTCAACTGGCGGCCCGTGGACCAAATTTGGCCCCCGAATGCCTAGCAAGTGGCCCGCGGATCATTGCTAGCTGTTTTGTATTTATAATCTCTCTATACTGGTGCTCGGGTCTTTGGCCCGTGAGGATACCAGTTTTTTTTAAATATTGATCCCTGAATCAACTAAGTTGTATAGTCTTGTCCTAATAAGTTACACACAGGTGTTTTTTTTTTTTTTTTCAACCCCACATAGTCGAACACGCGGCGTAGTAAGCTAGTTGCATTTTCTCTTCGGGACATACACAACAACCATAGGATTTGTTTGACTAGGATTTTATCAGTCATGTTAAGTTTCTTGTTTTCCACATCCACATGGCTTGAGACTATGTCCTCAACCTTGTAGATCGTCTAGGCAAATGAGATGCCCACTTATCCCGATGTGCATTGTACTCCTTAAGTATGGCCATTTTCGTCTAAGCAGTTCGCCATTATGGTCTTGTGGGATGTGTGTGCAGACTACAGAACATGTCCTGCAAGAGTGTCCCCTGTACAGCCCATTAAGAAGGGAATACTGGCCCAGTGAGTCACCACTGTAGTCAGAGTTCTATCGGTGTAAATCAGAAAGCGAACACAAGACGAAGAAGAAAGTTCATAGTTCATGTTATAGATCGTCTTCATCGCACATCGAACATGACCATAAGTGCTCCGATCTCCACCTGAGTATGTCTCTTAGTATTTTTAGACAAACAACTCCTATTCTGTTTTGGCTGATGTAACGACGGATGGCTTCCGCATGATTTTCAATTCTCACGGCTCCAGTTGATACTCCCAGGATATGCAGTCTTCCGGGTCATTCTCCACGAAACTGAAAGCCTCACAGAGTTTAGTCCCTCGTATGGCACTGATGATGTCTCTCATGTCCATAGAGGGCCAATTCCTGAAAGTCGCACTGCCAGCCAGGGCATCCGCTTTCTCATTGCCTTCCACGCCAGCAGACCTGGGACAAAAAATGAAGGTGATTTTGTCAGCTGCTGAGTGCTGAATCAGATAAAGCAACTGTTTTTGTGTGTGCCCCTCCTTGATCTTCTTTAGCATGCACATTAAATTGATAAGGAAGCATGCATTGTTAAACTTCTGAGTTTTCATCCATTATAAGGCCTTTGTTACTGCTATGACCTTCATTGTTATGCTGGTGGTGGTTGGAAGCAAAGGCTCCACTGTCTTCTTCAATGACTTTTCTTGTGATTCTTGCCGTGAAAGCTCGTGCTCGTCACTTCTCACGAATCACAGAACCATTTGTATATATAACAGCGTCTTCTGGTGATGTGTGCTACTCCGCCAATGCTTTCACTTCTGCATCAACTATTGGTGGCGGCAAATCACGGCGCTGTCTTGCCAGGTTGATAACTACCACAAAGTACTGTTTCTATTCATAATTCCTTACGTCCTTCTTAGGACGTAATTTTTTGTTATTTGAAGCCCCACTCTGGCTTTTGCCAGGGGCCGCAATATAGGCAGGCCATCAATATGGCCAATTGTCTGACCGCGGTTTCTAGGACCTCTCCAAGGTGATCCTCATCCGTATGGTGGCACTTTGTGTCATCGGTTGTTTATCGCTTGTGTGATGTCCTAGTGTGGTAGAAAGTCGGTTTCTATTCATGTGGTATCGGTATCTATTCCTCTCCACAGTTTCGTAGAGGGAAATCACCCTTTGAAGCACTGTCCCTGAACGGTCCAACCAACCTCGTTTAAGAAGAAAGTATAGCCATGTTACATTAGAGAAGGCGGGGACTACAGTTGTCAGACTAGATACCACAAAAGGACAGACCATCCACATCTGTGATGCAGAGAATAGAGGTTCCATTATCTGTGAGGAGTGACTATTTTTTTTTTTGCAAAAAATCCTTACCTGTCGACTGCCCTAGGCATGCAGCACTTAATCCTCAGACTCAGCTTGTCGCAAGGAATGGCCAGCTGGTGCTCAACAAATGATTCATGACAATTCCCGCCCAGGTGACATGATTGTCTATACAGATGGCTCTGTGTTGAGGGGCAGACTAAGTGCATGGGGGTTCATAGCAAAGGCGAATGGACGTCGGCTAATGCAGCAAAGTCTGGCATATGATATCGCAACCTCTAGTTTGAGAATGGAGGTGGAGGCAGTCTCTGCTGCCTTCCGCTGGCGTGAGAATCCGCAGTACACACATGCCGTGATGTAACTGACTCACAGAAAAGGTTGAGAGAGGTGGAGACAGGCGTGCTTCGTGCAAAGTGTCAAGAATCACTTTAAAGGTCCCATGTAGTTGGCTTCCTTTGAATATTTTCGACAGGTTATACTGGTGTACTTGAAAATGAGCAGGCAGATAGACTGGCAGGTTCTGCACCAATTTGTGGTGAACTGATGTATGACAAGCCGGAAATTGTGAGGGCTCTTTGTGAGCGATTGAACAGTGCGGAGGCACAAATATTATGGTCTGAGGAGAATGGCGCTGCGAGGAGTTGCAAGGGGATCTATCCGACGCTCAACACTTAGGGGAAAGGCGAGACGGATATACAATCAGACAGTTACTGGTACCATCAGAATTTTAACTCCTTGCTTGCTGCTGAAAATAGGGGCGGAGCGCTTATGGGGGTGTCCCTAGTGCTGTGATGTCGATTCCTAATTCAGCATTCAAAATTCAACAACATTCAACTCAGCTTGTTCTGCACTCCCACTAAAATTGATAAAAACTGACAATGAAGACAGAAGCAAGAAATACAAATGCTATAAAAAAAAAAGTTAGTTCGCGTAGATTACCTTCATTTTAGGAAGAATATAAGGGGGCTGCGTGGTATCGAGACATAGAGTCCGCCTCGAGTGATGAAGGTCCAGGGTTTGGGTTCCGGTAAAGACTGGGATTTTTTTCGCGTGGACTTATAATAATTTCCCCTGGTCTCTAGGTAGTAAGATCGGCCGCCCATGTGTATTGTTACGCACGTAAAAAATACCTTGGCTGCTGGAAATCGAAAAAAGTAGCCCAAGGGTGCTGCCCGGCCAAAATGTGCAGTTTAAAAAGTCTACCCAAAGTATTTCAGGATCCTTGTTGGTGAAATGGATTTCGTGCACTGTGCGTTATTCTTTGGACTCAGACTTGAGTTAGAAGTAAAACGGAGCACTTATGGGTTACTTCCCTTGTGTCATGATGTTGTTACGTTGTTTAAACCTCCAAGGAAGAAAAAAAGTTGCATGTCATAGTTGTGTTTATATATCCCCTACAGGTTGTCGATCTGCTGAATGACTTGTACACAACGTTTGACTCAATTATCGAACATTTTGACGTCTATAAGGTAAGCCATATTTTACTATGTCAAAATGTAAATTTTACCCGATAAACACCCGGTGACACAAAGTGCCACCATGCGGATAAGGATCACCGGTGGAGAGGTCCCAGAAACCACGTTGAGCCTTCACACTATATTGCGGCATCCAGTTGGAGCTTCAAAATAACGAAAAATTGCGTCCCACATGGGGACCACGTTAATTACACAACGACACCATGTCAAAATACCTTTCGCTCCAGTACTCTGATTCCATTTTCGAACAAGAAGGAAAGACATGCACAAGTAACAATAGGGTGGAGGACGAGCGGTCTGAATCAGATGGAAGCATCAAGCCCAGAAATGGCGCAAATGCTCGACTTTAGTCACGAAAGTGACACAAATAACCCAGACCACAAATATAGGCGGAGACTGTTAGCAGCCTCGGCTAGCTAGCAGCAGTCTGAAAGTGGTCGACCTGTTCATTTTTTTCATTAAAAGAACTCGGACTCAGACTTTCGAAAAAGAACTGATTCTTCCGGTGGTGGTTTAATTGTTAGGTTTAAACATAACTCCATCACTGTTTTCAGTAATTGTAATATCCCTTCAGATCGAACCTACTTCTTAACAGGACTGTTATAATAACATGAATTATATACTTGATTTCGACGTCTGTGGCTTAGGCATTGGGAACACGATTCGTAATTCCAACGTTCCAGTTGTTGGTGTTTTCACCGCAGACCAGCTTGTGGCGATTTTAACAGTGGTAACTAGAGCCGACCGTTTAAGGTTGGCAAAATACTGAACGTACAATTGTCTAGGCAAACAAAACAGCCAGCAACCCCACACCTAATGATAGGGTGTGTTCTTCAGCGTACTGTAAAGGATACACCATTAACTAACTAACTGTGCAGTGATTGTCATTCCAGCCGTAAACTGCAGTTGATTCTAATTACAGAAGTACATTTTTATGGTCCAGTCAAGAAGTTGATTGTAATTCTTAAAGTGAATCTTCATATTCCTGCCAGAACGTTGATTTTAAATCCTGAATGAACTTTTCTATGCATGTTAGGAGGTTACTTATAATTCATTAAATGAACATTTCTATGCATGTTAGGAGGTTACTTATAATTCATTAAGTGAACATTTCTATGCATGTTAGGAGGTTACTTATAATTCATTAAGTGAACATTTCTTTTCCTGTTAGAAGTTTATTCTACTTCTTTAAGTGATCTGTTCTAATCCTGCTACGATGTTCCAATTTTTCAAATGAACTGTTCTATTTCTTGTAAATGTGATCAAGGCGGTATGTTACTGGCTGGTGGGTGACCTGATAGCAGCTGTCCTGCATTCTCATATGGTTGCCCTTTGCCTGGGTACGTAAACCTCAGAACCATGTAATATCGCCCTGGGACTAACCCAAGGTTCTGCTATTTCACCAGTGCTTTTCCATGTGCATACAAGCAAGATTACAGAACTTGAAGCGCCAGGTGTTGGAAAAATATTGACATTTGTAGATAGTATTCTCGCATATAAACAGTGAAGCGATAGACAACAGACAGCCTAAGAGGAACTGGTAACTAGACAAAGTGGCTGACTGGTGTGCAGAGATGGGCGCGGTCATCAACTTAGAAGACGCTGGACAATAGAGTTTTAAAAGCTAACGTTCCAGACCTCCCAGTAAATGACAGAAACATCAAAAGAGAAAGCAAACTGGTGGTACCTGGGTATAATTTTCAACTAAAGCCTCTCCCTCCACGATTATCTGGAGGCAGTTGAGGTGAAATGTCAAACATAACTCAGTGCACTCAAGATTATAGTAGCACTGGACATGGAACAAAGAATGCTGTTCACAATGTTCCTGCATGTGATCCTGTTAGTAAAAGATTATGGAATTGGAATGCCTACTATATCAAAGAGTCAGCTGATAAAACTCGAACACATAGAAAAGGAAGCAATGCGGGTAATTCTGATATGTACAAGAGATACTCCGATAGAATGTATACGATAAATGCTTGAAGCCATGCAGGTAATTCTGATATGTACAAGAGATTCTCCGATAGAATGTATACGATAAATACTTGAAGCCATGCGGGTAATTCTGATATGTACAAGAGATTCTCCGATAGAATGTATGCGATAAATGCTTGCACTGCCTGCTGTTGCAGATAGACACAAAGTTCTGCAATCAGTCATATCTCAGAGTAGCTGCAGACAAGAAACGCCACCTGCGTGAAGCCCTAGGTAGAGCTAAGGGTCACATACTGAAACGAGTAAGGTCTTGGATTGCGCAGGATGAAAAAACACTTATACATTGTACAGACAAGATAATTTTGAGCGAGGAGAGGTCAAAGTGTCCCAGCAATAATCAGATTTGTGTAAAGTTCTAATCAATGTGGGTCGTGAATGTAGGGACTAGCCAGCTGGTGATGCAGAATCAGAAGTTCAAATGAGTCATCACAATTGCCGCCCAAGTGATGTGTTTATCTGTACGGGTGGCTTTTGTGTGTTGAGAGGCAGACGAAGTGCATGGGCGTTCGATGCAAAAGCGAAAAGACGTCGCTTGGTGCAGCGAAGATTCGGATATGATATCAAAACATTTTGTTTCAGAGTGGAGGTGGAGACAGTCACTGCTGCCTTCCGCTGGCTTGAGAATCAGATGTACACACATGCCGTGACTGTAACTGACTCACAGAGCATGTTGAGAAAGGGGGAGACAGGCATGCTCCGTGCAGAGTGGCAAACATCACTGTATAGGTCCCGGGTATTTGGCATCCACTTGACATTTTCTCTAGGTCATGCCAGTGTGCTTTGAAAATGAGCAGGCAGATATACTGGCCGGTTCTGCACTACTTGGTGGTGTACAGATGTATGACAAGCTAGATCTTGAGAGGGCCCTTTGGGAGCAAGTTTACAGTGCGGAGGCAGTTAGATCAATACAGACTGAGAATAAAGGCGCTGTGAGGAGGCGATCTGGCCCGATGCTCAACACTCATGGCACATGCGAGAAAGATAAAGGATCAGACAGGTACAGAAATAGTAACTCTTCGCATGCTGCTGAAGATGGGGTAGGAGCACTTATGGAAGTGTCCCGAGTGCTATGATGTCGATTCTTAACTCAACAACATTCAAGAACATTTGTAAATTTGAACAAAGCATATTTCTCTGTATCTCGTTAGGTGTATACTTCTATACCAGTGTAATCAACTATTGTTGGCGGAATCTATCGTCGCCTGGAGATCCCCTATATCCTTCCAAATAACTTACAGGGCTCGAATTAAATAAGTCTAAAAACGGTCCCTGAGTTCTGGAAAATAGAGGAAGGAGAATACAGAAAGTGAAAGAATAGGGTGAATCCCCGGAAATTTCCTACAGAAATTCAGAAAAACAACCAAAGTCAAAACTTTGTGAAAATTTCACTCAAATAAATTGCAATGAACAATCTTTAGTCTATCTAAGAAGTTAAAATTGATAGGATGAAATCGATAAATGAGTTTCTAAATAACAACTGTATTGATAAATATTGTTAGGAAATTTTACAATTTTAAATTAAGAAACAAAAGAAACAATTAATATTCATCATACACCACAAAGTTTTCACAAATAGTCAATAACACTCAGCTTTACGATATACGGGATGTGTCCAACTGCAGCTTCTCTGGGAGGAATGTACAAAGCTCTGACTGCGACTGTTTAGTCCTCGCCTAACTGCGACATTCATCCGTGAGATCTCGGTTGTTCATTCTATACCGTCTGATTCCAATTCACAAGGGAACAGCTCACGATCCACAGGTAACAGTGATGGTGGTTCACAATCCACAGGTAACAGGCATACAGGAAACGGGAATACGGGGAGCACGGGAACCTGCGGAATACATCGTTCAGCCCTGTGTTGAGCATTATGTCGACACATCTGGAAGCAGGTGGAGGTGTGTTGCGGTGTCTGTGGTGTTTGTCAGAGTTAAAAGAAAGAAAGATCAAGGTTCATATGTTGTCTTTCTCTACAAGTAAATCAAAATTATACATCTCCACCCTATTATAATATGTTGGTTTATACCTATCTAATTTATGGCACGATCATATAAAACTTGACATAATTAAGCGGACACACATTCGCCTGCGGATTGGGACAATTATTAGTTCGAGTCTCAAAAACCCAGGTCGACTTCGCCTTAAAGGACACCAGGTATAGTAATGGGAAGTAAAGGCTGCAGGTGTGACGTTGACCACATCAACACCTAGGTACCACTTTGGTCTATATAAAACATAGGCCAACCCGATCAGCCCACAAAGTTGACGACTTTTACTCAAATTATATGTTTGCATAATATAATAAAATAAGCAATGTAATGTATACCCGACTGATGATACCACATGGCACAGGATAATGGTTTTTACTATAAAATCTTTACGCAAGTAGACCGAATGAATATAAGAGTGACAGAGGGAAGAAGGGTTCGCTATTGAATAGTCCTAACGGGGAATAGTAACTTTGAGAACGTCATAATATGTAAGGACTAGTGAATTGTCCAACGGACAAGTATCAAGGTTGATGAAGTCACGGACTATTTATACAATGGTAGAATATAGAATAGTAGGATCTCAATAACATATTTTAGGATACAGCTAAGGCTTATAGGGGATCTCAGCTACTCCCTACCATTATAAATCTCACCTGAAATTGTATATGGTATTTTTATTGTGGGTGTTAGGCCGATGGTATGGCTGGCAATCGTTCTGTGTTGTGACGAAATTAGATCTCCTAGTAACACCACAAAACGTCATAAATTATGTGCGCCTTCGTACCTTTTTATTCTTTTAGCGTCTATGTTTAAATATATTTATTTTACGTGCGCAATTCTTTTAACTAAAACTTGCAATTAACTCTTGCCGGACTGAAATTATCCTTGGTTTTGCCACACACAGTAACAATTGAACACAACGAAGCAAAGACAATGATTCTTGTATCTGAAATACAAAATCAACTGTAATCAAAAACAGGCCCTTCCTGTATTTTAGTAGCTCGACATGGAAGAGCTGGTCCGATGTTTTAAATCCCATAGTCGATAGAGATATGAAGAAAAGGCAGAAGACTGGTAGAAGAGCAGTTTTGTGTCCACGATATCCCACCATGCTCAAAATTCCATTATAATTAACCATACAACGTTGCCCTTTTGCATACTGCATAACTAACATAAGAAACGGATGCCATTACTCCCTGCTTTATCACTTATACACAAAAGAAAACAGTGGGAGCGGGGGATCTGAGCCTCGGGATTTGGTGCACTCGCCACTGACAGTTCGTTAGGATTTTACGTTGGCCTTTTCAAGGATTCGAACCTGTGTCTTCCATGTAAAAGCTCTGACTTTTTAACTAAGTGTTAATTGTGTGCCTGTTTTGTAGGTGGAGACAATAGGGGACGCCTACATGGTGGTCTCTGGACTTCCTGACCGGAATGGAAACATCCATGCGCGTGAGATCGCCAGAATGTCCTTGTCCTTGCAGAAAGCAACCTTGACCTTCCGTATACGTCATAAGCCGGACTACCAACTGAAGATCAGGATAGGCATTCATACAGGTTGGCCTTTGTGTGTGTGTTTTATACAAGTACGGTGCAGATCTGATAAAAACTTACCATGGACAGAACAAATAGTTCTGATTATCAGAAATTCGTTTTATACGGATAAGAGTTCAAGCCTGCTGTGCTGCATTTACATAGTACAATACAATTCGAAAGATGTATTACATTTATTACAAGAACATATGTAAATCATCAGTAAGTATAGTGTTAGCACAGATATCTTGAGAATAAAAACATTTTTTTACAATTACTTTTGTTATTCCTGAAAGTCTTGACGTAAGAATATCGAATTCCGTGGCTATGCACATTTGTTCCCCCCCCCTCCCCCCACCCATTCACTTTTAGTGGTAGCTCGATCTTTATTTTCAAAGATACGGTTTTTAACTGAAGGGCCATTTGTAGAGGGAAAATACTTAAATTCTAACACGACAGATCGCATGATTACCGAAATATATGTTGTACAAACGTTCAGATATCTGAAAACTATTGCCTTGAGCAGATCAAATTATAAAGTCGGGACACGTTTATTCATTTGTTATATCCGAAAATTCTTGATAAATAGATTCCTCTTTACCGGATTTTTTTTTTTTTTTTTCTAAAAAAAAAAAAAAGGCAAATTTTCCCAGGGTAAACAAATTGTTCTTCAAACAAGAAATTCGCGGCATCCGAGATAACCTTAAGAGGTCTGCATTTTGTTACCAACATCATTATCTGTCACAGGTGAAAGCGTAGAAAGTCGGGTTCGCCATCATACACTATCACCAAAATCACAGATCCGGTATGTGATTTTGGCCTGCACATGTCAACTAGGAACTAGGAGGTAGTGGAAATATAGTTTCTGAAACGCCTGTGGATACCGTTGGTAACCATAGTGACTAACAACCACTGCCCGGAAATGACTGATGAAATTAGGCTCTTTAGTAAAAATTTATAAAATAAGCAATCAGTATTCTTTGGTCAGCGGCGTCCGTTGCTTAGGCGTTGAGAGTCTGACTCGTAATTCCAACGTACCGCGATCGAAACCCACTGAAGGCTGTGTGGAGTTTTATCATGCTATCGGGCGTCGCAGGTCGACCTAGCTTAAAATGTATACCAGGATATATGTCCTGGTGAAGTAAAGACAGCTGGCGTAATGCTGATCACATTACCCACCTGGTGCGCAATTGGTCTGTAAAACATAGGTGTATACCCGATGCACCGGAAGGCGTGAAAAGGGATCTTTACTTTTACTTCTTTAGTTCTTTGGTCATGTGATGAGAAGACAATCATTGGAGAACACTGCGGTGACCGGAAAAACCAACTGTAGAGGATTCAGAGGCAGATCAGGAGAGTCGACGCTTAGCGGCCTGAAGCGATGGTGTGGAGTAATATCAACAGTGGACATTGATTCAAAATGCCATGGACCCAGATTTTCAGAGAGTCGCGACAAACGTGTTTCCATTACTTAATCATGATTATTTTGTTCCGTTTTCATTACTTAATCATGAATATATTGTTCTGTTTCCATTACTTAATCATGACTATACTATTCTGTTTCCATTACTTCACCATAAACATACTATTCTGTTTCCATTACTTCACCATGAATATACTGTTCTGTGTCCATTACTTGACCATAAATATACTGTTCTGTGTCCATTACTTGACCATAAATATACTGTTCTGTGTCCATTACTTCACCATGAATATACTGTTCTGATTCCGTTATTTAACCATGATTATATTATCCTGTTTCCATTACTTGACAAACATTATATTGCTTTGATTCCATTACTTAATAACTTTTATATTGTTCCTTTTCCATTATTTAACAGTGTTTGTATTGTTCTGTTTCCATTACTTAACCATGATTACATTGTTCTGTTTCCACTACTTAACCGTGATTATATTGTTCTGTTTCTGTTACTTAACTATGATAATTGTGTCTCCATTGACCACAGGGCCTGTATGTGCTGGTGTGGTAGGCCTGAAGATGCCTAGGTATTGTCTCTTTGGGGACACAGTGAACACGGCCTCAAGAATGGAATCGAATGGTCTACGTAAGTTCTGTTACTGCCTGGTGTATGCTGTCTGTTCAGTTAGATTAAATTAGCGCCTGAAATTCAAGAGAATAAACTTTGGTCTTTATATGGAAATATTGTCATTCAGATTCGAAACTGTAAAAATGTATGTCAAAAATACCTGACAGTAAATAAGACAGTATGCTCTGGACATCTCTGTGTGCGACGAAGTAAGAGAGATGTGTTGACAACAACTGGTAACTTAGTTATAAGAAAAAGAGGATGACGCTATATTGGACACATTTTGATTAAAAAAAGGAGCCTATAATCACCAGACAGGCACTAAAATTGGAAATAAAGGATTTGAATAAGCAAGGACGTTCAAAAAGAAACCTCAAAATAAATGTTGATGGGAGAGGCCAAGTGATCTGGACTGATTCCATCCATAAAATTGAATTGATTGCACACGATAGAGCAGAACGGATGAGTAGACTGCGTTTTTGATGTGACTTATTATCGCACAAGACAATGATGATAAAGATGATGATGACGATGATGATGATGATTATGATGATGATGATGATGATGATGCTTATGTGGACCGACATGAGAACCAAAGATGTACGACATAGACTACTGGAAACACAAAACTGTGATTTTTAATTTATTGAATGTGATGTGGCTAGCAAATGCGCCTCCAGCAAAATGTAAAAGATGCTCACCAACTTAACAAAAAGATATAACTTGCAGTAAGCAAAATAAGCAAGTGTGCTGGACTGATTCCATCCATAACATTGAATTGATTGCACACGATACAACGGAACGGATGAGTAGACTACGTCCTTTATGTGACTTATGTTAAGGATGATGATGATGAAGATGATGATGATGATGATGATGATGATGCTCACCAACTTAACAAAAAGATATCACTTGCAGTAAGCAAAATAGTGTAAAAAAGCTAAATAGATACTCTAGTTACATTCACGTGAGACAATCAGAAGGTTAGCTGGAAATCCCCAACTCAAAGCAGGTATATGGTTTTTTAACAACAATGTAAAGAATATCATCAAATGGTAGAGCAACACACGAGGCAGTCCTGCTTGAAACAGACGACAACCGTGAAATAACTGGAGAAATTTGAAGTAGATAATCAGAGTTTTTATCTCCCAGTTCTTGAGGGGAAAAATATGAGCTTTAGAGCCCAAATGCTATACAAGGATTATCAGAATACCACGGACAAAGAAGAATAGAAATACTAACATCATACAAGATCTAAAAATCACAGATTATTGGCAAGTAAACAGCAACGGGTCTTGGAAACTGCAATATTTTGGCCGCATCAAGCGCCATGGCAGATGTAAAAAAGAAATATTTGCAGAAGAAGGGGTGCCAGAAATGAGGCGCAGCGACCGACCAGCACGAAAATGGCTACAAGATATAAGTGACAGTTTGGGGAGGAAGGTGAACGAGGCAGGTGAGCTGGCCAGAGACTGAGTTTCTTTCAGGCAGACCGTGATGAGAGCTACTTTCCACAAAGCGCCTGATACTTGGCAGTGATGAGTTAGAGTTGCAGAGATTTTATGTGAAGGATTGGCCTACAGAACGTAGGAATGACTAGCATGGTTTATAGGAAAAGAGAAAGTGAGGAGGCTAAGAGATACACTCCTGGGTAGCTCAGCTATATTGAGTACTTAAGCCATGATCATAGGGACGATTATTACGACCTGACAATATCGGTGATCACCGATTCCGTTGTTTTCATGAGTACTTAAGCCATGATCATAGGGACGATTATTACGACCTGACAATATCGGTGATCACCGATTCCGTTGTTTTCATGTGTAATTATGTCTTCCCTTCTTTGCAGCTCTCAAAATCCACGTCAGCCCGCAGTGTAAAGAGGTTTTAGACTATTTTGGCTCATTTGAATTAGAACTCAGGGGAAATGTAGAAATGAAGGTGAGCTGATTTTCTTCTTAACTCTTCTATATCGAAAGCTAAAAATGAAATTTTTAAAATTTTAAAAAAAAAATGCTTTTGTGGAAGAAACTTAAAAAAAAAAGGATAAAGTATGATATGTTATGGGAAATGGGAAATTGTAATTCTATTCTTATTGTGAGAAATTCTAAATAATTCCTGACGGACAGAAACGGAAAATTATAGATGATCATTTTGCTGGGGAAGACTGGAAATTATTAAACGTTTGTGGAGGGAAATAGATAATTGTAAACATATTATGCTGACAAAAACTTTGAAGAAGCGTAATGCTTGTGCTTAACAAAGCACGCTAAAGAACCAGCTCTAACAAAATGTTTTCGAAGGCTCCCGATACCACTGTCGAAACCAAAGCAAGGCGGTCTGCTCCCAAATCGCCTGCATCTAGGATCGAACCTGGCACCCCGGCATTACGAAGCGTGTCTGCAACGCCTATATTTAGAAAGCCGACACAAATGTTAAAACAGATTTGTCAGTTATGTCAGGCTGAATGAATGAATTAGGAATTGACGCCATTGCGCTCTGGGCATTCCCACAGTTCCCTTATTCACTTCCTCAATAGTGGTTCCCTTTATCTGCTCAACAAAATCTGCACGTTCAGCCAGCATCCCCGAAGTGGAGCTTTAGGTTATAATTTTGACTCGTTTATGTGCGCCATATAAAATGGCTTAGCATTGCAGGCCACCAAGTAGTTTTCTGAAAAGAACTCCTGGCAGTGCTGATGTGATCACAGGATACAGATCCAGATACTGTCTCCACCTGCGACGAAGTCGTCTACCGGTCAGCCAGTGGACGACCCGGTTGCCGATGCCAGTCCACTAATAATGGTGAAAGTTGCAACCTGATTAACAGTATGACTGCCTTTTCCGATGGAAAAGCGTCCAAGTCCCTCACTGCCCGACCCCCGGTATCGAAATTCTGAACCATAATAGAGCCATAGATAGGGAGGTACAGTTAGATCATCTGGTCTGACAAGAATGATACAGTTCTGGGTGACAATGGGATCTGGCTGACGATCAACAGCTCAATGGAATGACGAAACGGGCATACAATCAGATTGTAACTGGGGCCATAGAAATTTAAACTCGGCGCTTGCTGCTAAAGGTGGGAAGGGACAGCTTATGGAAACGTTCTGAGTGCTATGTTGTCGATTCAAAATGTAAAATTCAAATTTAGCAAAATCACACACATACACTAATTTACATATAATTGGTTTATTTATGTGAGAAATGGGCAATTATTAAAATCGAATTTGATATGGCAAATAAATTGAAATTTGAAATTATAAATTATGTATTTCTGGGAAAAATAAAAAATAATATTTCAGTTTTGAAGAAAAAGGGAAGCTATCAAGTGTGTCTTGCAAGGGGGGGGGGGGGGGGGGGGGGGTTGGTTGATTTTGATAATTTAACGGTGCATTCTTGACTGGCGGCTAATTGTTTTCACCTGCTTTAAGATTTATGTTGTAACGCTGGGTCCTGGTTCATAAAATCAATCAGTCAGTCACTACACTTAATCACAGAGCAAACCCTGAACAGAAAGTTTACAATGAGATTACAGTAACGTGTATGTCCTCTTCAGAACTTCACAAATCACTACCAGCACTTACTAACCTTTTGTGGTTTTACTAAACAACTTCACCTTCAATAGTTGGTCAATTAAAGTGAAATAGAAAATCATTTTCAGAATTTTAAGAGAGAAAAAAAAAAACATTGATGACCACAAATGAATACAGCATAGCAACCACTTATTCAAACTGATAACGAGGACATGAACTTTGTCACAGATTTTGAATATTTACAAAATGAAGAATATTTTATGCAATCGTTCTTCGTCAATTGAGACGAGAAAGAGCATTCTTAAAGCTAAATAAATCCTATATTCATATACCGAAGTGAATCATGGACAAGTTGGTAAATTAGTGAAAACCTATTTGGAAGCTGTGGAGATGTGGTTTTATAGACGATGATGAGAATACCTTGGACAGATTAAAAAAAAAGTAATGAAGACGTCTTAAATTCATCTGACTTAAAAAGAGAACTGATTATTCACTTCAGAACTAGACAATCTACATTCTTTAGTAGTGTGATGAGAGGGAGAAAACTGGAGTACATCGTGACGGTAGGAAAGTTGGAAGGAAGATGAGGCAGAGGGAGACCGAGAGAACAGATGCTGGACAATTTGATATCACAGCATGGAGGATCATCTGTGTTGGAGCGGATTGGTCGACAGACATGACTACCAACGCATGGACTCTAAGAAGAAGTGAACAACAAGGGCGACTGCACAAATGAAGTCACACACACACACTCACACACACACTCACACACACACACACAACTCGCTATAGCAATGTAGATTAAACAGCATGAAGACCCTAAGCACACAAAAAACAAGCGAGTTGAAGATTTGCGAGCTTGCGCCGTCCCGTTGCTTCTAATGGATGTGAGCTAAGGCCCCATGCTCAGCCATTGAAGAAAGAAGTCAGAGCTTTTGAAATGAAATGCTACAGAAAATTTCTTTGAATACCATGGACACAGAAGGAGAAAAACACAGAAATCCTACATGATCTGAGCATAGAGAAGAATTGGCTCATACACAGGATCATGTCTCGGAAGCTGAGGTATTTTGGCTGTTAAACATCAAAGTGTTCTGGAGAATTCCAATTTTTATTCCTTTAGAAAAAATTTAAAAAAAAACTCACCCATGTTCAACCTGCTGTTAACCAGCCGGAGCTGCCAACATTTTTGGTCTTGCTTATTTGCGCCACATTATTGGCTGAGGTTCTGGTATTTGCGCCGTCTCTGGGCTTAATGCTTCTTTCCTCCAAGTCAGACCGCTCATTCCCTATCCTGTTATAAACTGTGTTCTCCTTGCCCTTTCATTTCTGATGTTTCCGCCCTGGTTTCAGTTACTTTTGATTTGGCCAGGCGAATTGCAGACCTCTGAAAAAGTAGACAGACAACATTGAATATGCATTGCCTATGATTGCAAATAGGGCTGTGGAGAGACTTGCATGCGTACTAGGACGAGAGCGTCAATGTTTAAGGGACCTGATAATTGATGTTTACCAGTAGTCGATATCAGCGCAAAGCGAACTGTAACTTAATTGTCTGCAGCTGACATGACACTCGCGAATGAAGGAATTGTATGTATGTATTTAAGTAAGTTTTACCCCACCACTACATCACACAAGCGATAAACATCCGGTGACACAAAGTGCCACAATGCGGATGAGGATCAACCGTGGAGAGGTCCCGGAAACTCCATTCAGCCGTGAGGTCATATTTCTGGCTCGTCTTTATGTAGGGCCCCCAGCAAAAGCCAAGATAGGGCTTCAAAATAACTAAATATTGCATCCCACAAGGGGATAACGAGTATATGTGAAGGAATTATGAAGACAGCACCTGATTTCTCTTTCAGCCCGGTGCAAATGAAGCTCCAGTAATTAGCATGCCAGTCCGAAGGTCTTTGGTTAAATTTCACATTTTGGTGAATTTGTTGTAACAACGGACCTAGGCTCCAGGTTCACCAGGTCTAAAATGGGGGTACTCACAAAAATCCTGGGCAGTAAAAAGCCTAGTGCCCGATGTGACGATGTCTACAACACCAACCAGGAGATCTAAGGAGCAATCTAGCATCACAGCGCCAATGGCGTAAAATTTGTCGTTTTGTTTTCATTACATATCTCATACGATGATACATACGGAGTTTCTAAATCAAGAGAGCTGTATTTTCTTTTTTGTTTTTAAAAATGGTTTTAAAAAGACAATACAGTATGATTATAGAACATAAAAAGTTTAGCCAACAAATATGTGTGTTTATATATATATATATATATATATATATATATATATATATATATATATATATATATATATATATATATATATATATATATAAAACGAATCTGTTGTTTTGTGTATTTGAGACAGGGACAATAAACGGACACGCTGAAAAAAATATTAACACGAATGTTAGATAGCAATACATAACAGCCAAGGCTTACCAGCACAGAACATGATGATGATAATTATGATGATGACGATGATGAAGATGATGATGATGAAGAAGAACTGCCAATCCAACCGAGAAGTAGAACTGGTTAGCTGCGTAATATTATAATCATGAACGGGAAAATGTAACATGAATATAACAGTTAAATGAACCAGAAGTATTTTTGAAGTGCATCTTATACATTAAGAAAACACATAAATTATGGTGTTTTTCTTGGCACGAAAAAGGCTAACTAATTTATATTGTTATTACTTCCTAGGGCAAGGGTCAAGTGGTGACTTACTGGCTTCTAGGGGAGAAAAACACAAGTGACAGCCCTGGTGTTTCGCTCAATATTTTGTGATAATTGTCCTGTTTAATCCGTGACGTCCATAACTGAATAGATGCCCTCACTGAGATAAACCTAAATGTACTTTGGAAAAGCAGCAATGAAAAATCAATAAGGTCTTGGATGCTATAAAACCCCTGATGAGCAGGCGAAATGAATTTCATTTGTAAAATAATGTCAGAGAAACCATATCATGAAATTTTTTTTTTTTTTCAGAAGAATTATAACTTTCGGTATGAGGATCCTTTATTTCAGGGACAAAAGTAACAAGTAACATTTAAAGTTTGTTATTTTGACAGAGCTGTGGCATCTTCCTGGGATTTTTGTCTTGTTTTTATTTTGAGAGAATTATTTTCATCTCTTTTTACCGGCGTTGACCCTTTAGATGGATGTTGACATGTTGTGTTCTGGATTACAACTAAGATGTGTCTAAGTTCTGCGGAAGTTGTTCTTCTTAATGTCCTTGACTTGTGGCGTTGGTAGTCACGTCTATCCACAATCTTCTGTCTCGTATACTTTCAATCAGCTCAACTCTAACACAGATAATCTTCCACGCTATGATGTCAGACTGTCTAGCATCTTTTCTCTCTGTCTTCCTTTGCCTCTCCTCCTCTCGAACTTCCCTACCGTGTATTCCAGTTTTCTCATTCTCATCACATGGCCAAAGAATGCAGATTGCCTCTTTCTGATGCGGGCAATCAATTCTCTTCCTGACTGCGCATCTGGCCCCATACAATTTCAATAAGCCCCTAATTAATAATCTTTTACGACATACTTGATGTGATACAGTGAGGTCTATTCTTTTAACCCCTCTCCCAGCAAAGGCCTGTCAGAACTATCACGGGGAGTTATTTCAGTAAAATATATCTCTTGTCTTTTTTCTTTGTCTATGTTGTCAACATCTGCACTATGCCGTTCAGCAATGAAGTTTAACCAAACGTCTGTAGCCGTACCACAGCGCGCTCGGTTGCCTAATTGCTGTGATGTTGTGAAGTCGTAGGTTGTCTCTGACTCCTTCAATCCATGTTCTTCTAGGAATGCTGCCAGTATTGTTAGGTTCATTCTCATTAGATGTCTGAAATCTTCTAGTATTTCTGAGGTTAATGTAACAGTAGTTATCATTCTGATAGTTCTTGTAATCTCTTTATTTCTACCAGTGTTCTCTTTTGCATACCATTGGTTATTCAATAAAACTTTAATATTTACATAATTATTTATTATTTCGGCAGAAATATAATAATTTAATTCTTTTCCTCCAGCAGATATATAGCTTAATAATTATTTGTCTGTATTTCTCTAAAAACTGCATTATTTTATCAAAATAGCAAAATTTCTAAAATGCTTGATTTTTCTCAGCATAATGGTTTACACTAAATCGGCTTCATAAACTGACTGAAACGGTTCATTTTGTTTTTAGTACACCCGTTACATCTTAATAATGCCTCTGTTTATCATTAAAAGCAGAGCATCTGTATTTGTTATTTTATCAGAATCTCGGCATCTCTAAAGTAATAATTTCAGTAATTATTCACAAATCCAAACTATGCTGACCAATTCATGCAAAAACAAAGCTTGGGATAGCTTTGCTAGCCACAGAAAGAGTTATTATATCTGTCTTATAACTGGCCAATACTGTACAGATGTAATTAAAAAGTAACAAGACATTAGCAAACAACAAAACAGATTAAATGTTCGGTAGATTGTTCCAAAAATTTTGTTCAGATTTTTTTGTAATTTTTTTTTTAATTTCAAATGTCATTTAAATTTTACGAGCTCAGAAATAGTTCGTTATTTTTTTTTTTTTTTTTTTTTTTTTTTTTTTAGTTTTTTTTTTTTTTTTTTTCAGATTATGTTCATATATCGTATTTTCTGCTTTACAAATTATACGTCCAGTCATATTTTCAATATGAAAATCGCATGTGAAATTACTGGTAAATCTAAACTGGATTATGTGGTAATAACAGGAATGTTAGTTAGAAAGTTGCAGGGAGAGAACATGAGAAAGATCGGGATAGATATGGAGAAACAACTGTTTTGAAAGGATTGCTGGTACACGGGAAGGTTCTATGCAGTCATAGTGACCAAAGTCACAATGGGTGGACTATGAGACTGGCAGTACATGAGTCAGAAGATCCTAGGCGGTCACAGTGACCAAAGCCACATTGGCTGGACTATGATTTTAGCAGCACGAGAACAGAAGGGCCCCGGGAGGG